TGTGCACCTCTGCCTTCCCCTTCGGGGATAAAAGGCGTGATGTTATGTTATGGTACGGGTATGCATCTTACAAAATTAATGAATAAATTGATGACTACATTGTTATTTACTGACACCGGAAACGAAATCACTTCCAAATGCAGTTAATAATAAATATAAACCAAATCTAATTAATTTAATTAACACAGTTTATGTAAATCAGTCCAAAATTCGAGCTTCCGTTTGTACGAAAAGACAGTTTTATTGCATATTTTAGTTCACAACTGTTTTTAATTAAGATGGGTATCTCGACTCACTATATAACGACTTTATCTACACTAATAAATATCAAAGTTTATCTTACTTGGTATTTACAGTTATTTTTAATAGTTGCTTGTAGTTGTTAAGAAGCTGTTTGCCATCTTATGTTGATGATAAAATAAACCTCTTTTTGAGACAGTTAGGTTACGTTACAACTTGAGAAGAACGGAGTGCGAAATAGACGGGTAAAAACTTTAAACGTAACATTACAAAGATTCGCGGAGGGCTTTTTTTAATTGGGACAAGCCCGCCACAACCTCCCAAACCCGCTGCAACTCCTGTAAGCCAGGATCTACAGTAGATACAACCATGAAAACACCGGAACACTGAAGTCCGGCGCGTCTCAGGGACATGAGTAACTGTCTTGGTTCCCGCAACGAAGTGAATCATAAGATATTATAAGAGGAGGAGAAGAAAAAACTGTGGTTTTCACTTCCCTCGGTGAATTACTGCAGGAGACAGAATTAATTAAGCCTAAAGGCACAAAGAAGAGACTGTACGCCAAGCACCACGGAAATTTGACTAAAAACTAAGTGGGTCCTATGTGTGAGCTGTAGCGGAGGGCTTAACGGGTTGCCAGGGCTCCGGCTCGAAGGGCAAGAGTAACAACGGGGTGGTTTTTAGTCAGTAAGAGTCTGAAACTCCCTCCCGCCTCACCCAGGCAGGGGAAGTAATTTGTCGCGGAGAACCTAACGGGTTACCGGGGCTCCGGCTCGACGTGCAGGAGAAGGAACAGGGTGGTTTTTAGTCAATAAGAGTCTGACACTCCCTCCCGCGTCACCCAGGCGGGAGCAGTCATTCGATGATTTTCCCCCCTTAAAAAAAGGGGAAGTAATTCGATGATTTCCCCCTCTTAAAAAACACGTTACAAGTAATAATGTCTTTGAAGCAGTTGTTTATTAACTTGATTTAACTATTAGGTTTCCAACTGAGTGCCGAAATGAACAAGCCTGATGCATATCAGGATTATAAACGATTGCTTTGTATCTCGCTATGAAATTTAACAAAACATTATTAAGTACATACATGAGAAGGAATAAAAAGAGTCTAGTTTCCACTCCTTACGGTTTATTTTGCAGTAGACTGAATAGGATTGTTCTTACCTAGGAATCATAAGTGACAAGGGCGGAAACGATCGCATTTGTAACCATTCACCTAATAAGGCATTATATTGTTATAATAGTTTTCCTTATAAAACCGCTCCGCTTCAGCTCATCATCATAACCTCACCTTTAAAACAAAAAAGGTTCTCAGCAATCATTATAGCGTTATTCAAAACCTTATATTTGGAAGCAGGGGGCGTCAATTCGATACCCGATTGCATTAAGTTTGTCGAAAAATATGACTGCCTCTCGTAACACGCCATTTTTTTTCAAATGAAATCGTATAATTATTTGTATGATTTCATATTTCATCTCGAGGTGTGATTGCTACCCTGTGGTCAAAGTAATAAGGAGAGGCTCAACTTTTTAATATTAACTTATGTATTGGCTGGTAAAGGATACCGACTTTCTATCAGATATATTATTTTGTTTTCTTTCGAGTGGAATTTATAGTGGTTCATCATCAATAGCCACACGGTGAAGGTTTTAGCATAGTTTATAGTGGTTATCCGAGAAAGATATTAAAGATTATAAAAAAATAAATAAATATTAAATATCTATGGTGACTACTGAGCATAACCTCCTTTCCCTATTTCAATCCTCAGACCCTGAACGTTTAAGACTTAAAATTTTTCAGTTGGATCATTTTCATAATCGTATTCCAATTGGTGTCGTGGTGGCTTGGAGGTTTAAGACAGCCGTTTCTCATGCATGAGGATGCGGGTTCGAAACCTGCCAACGGCAAGTACCCATGTGACATTTTCCAAATGATATGTACTTTCTAAGATTATTCAGACACCACTGACAAACGGTAAAGGAAAATATCACGAGGGAACCTGGACTTATAATTTCTAATTATAATTCCTAAATATATATTTAAAATCGCCAACCCGCAATCAGCAAGCGTGGTGATTAATGCTCAAACCGTGTCAGCAGAGGCTTTGCTCAGCAGTGGGCACTTATAGGCTGTTGATGGAGCTAATGATGATTTTTCAAATAGGATTACAGGATGAAGGTTCATAAGTTCATAATTTTGATGTTATTCTTAATAAGTAACTCACCAAAAATATATATTTTAAAGTAATTACACTCCTACATCTAGTATCTACTCCTAAGGAAATACCTTTTAAAGCAACTATTTTATAATCTCCATGCACACAGACACAAAAAATAAGCGTCGAGTCTGTGACAAAGGAGGTACAAAGTGTTTCAACCTTGTTCGGTGAAAGGTTATGCGCCGGCGCAGCCATATATCCTTGTTGGGATTGACAGACAAAATATGTTAATGGCGACTTAATGCCAACACGATATTTATGTTGTAGATATAAAAGAATTCTTTTTGGATTATAATAATTATAAAGTGGCTTAGAGTTGATAGCGAGTTGGCATTTATGTTTGTAATTGGGATGATGACAGGGTATGGAAATTAAAAACCTAATTAGTCCGTAAGTTCGGTAATGAAAAATATTAGACACCTATTTTTTATTTTGTCGTATAAAAAAACAATACTTAGATAAAACGAACCAAAGTTTAGGAATGGGGGCTAAAACGTCATTTCTACGTATAAAATGTATATAGAAGTGACGTCACGCGACATTTCAAATCGTCGAAATAATAATAATATATCGTCGAAAGTATTCGTTTCTGTAAGAAAATAAAAAATACGCGGCTAATGATTTAAAATAATCTACCAGACGGACATTAAAATAAAAATAAGGCATCTACCCTATTATGAATATGGAAGAGAATGGTAATTATGTATCGTGCAATATGGATTTAATACCAAATATTGTAAATTGTAATATAAACATGTTTCCATAAATTAGGCTTATCGAAAACATAAACAAAAGATGTCCAAAACATTTACGTAAAAGGTTTCTACCGAGATTAACTTACGAAGCCTTTGAGAAAAAATCCTTGCCAATATATTTTTTCAACTCTGCCGTTCATTCGTTAAACACAATAATAAACCCACTTCATGTAGTAACTCACTATAAGAACCATTTAAAAAACCAACAATTTCATAACACGATTTGTTCTAGAGAAAATGAGAAAATGTTCGAGTTTCTAGAGCAAAGTGAAAACTCTATTACGGTATCGAGTTTATAGATACTTACATAGAAAAGTTGTTCATACAAAACCAATCTTCCGATGAGACATGCTCATCAAGGTACACCAACCAATATATCATGGTCTCAATTTCTATGATCTTCCCGCAGATTGGACGGTCAGTTTATATTAGTTAACACGTCAAGATATAACAACCAATATATCATGGTCTCACATTGTATAATTTTCCCAAACATTCGACGGTCAATTTATACTGGTGTGTATATCTTTATGTGTAGTGTATACGAGCAGGTAACGTGAGATACACCACTTTCATCGACTTAATAGTCATTGATCTGTAGAAAACTGGAAGTGGCCATGATATCTTACTGATTTGTAACATGAAAGTTTTCCGTTCTCTTTATCGTCCACGCGAGTTTTAGGGGGTTTCTTCCGATAGTCGCGATTTTCTACGATAATAATAATAATAATCTATACTTATAATAAATCTGTAGAGAGGTCAATTCTGTACATAAAATATATTTAAAAAATAACTATCAAGGGGTGGTTAGGGATCGCTACTGATGCCAAAAATGCAATCAGTAAAATTTTTGTCTGTCTGTCTGTCTGTCTGTATGTTCGTTATGGAAACAAAAATTACTCGACGGATTTTAACGAAATTTGGCACAATTATTCTTTATACTCTTGGGCAGGTTATAGTATACTTTTCATTATGCTACGATCAATAGGAGCAGAGCAGTGAAGGGAAATATTGGGAAAACGGGAGAAGTTACTCCATTTATTAACTTAATACACAAGGAGTTACACGCGGACGAAGTCGCAGGCAAAAGCTAGTTTAATAATAATAATTTTATTTCATCAACTATTATGTCTACGATATTTGGATAGATATATTATGGTTTATTAGCTGTTGCCTAAATATGATTCCTGTTTTGTCCCCAGTGGAGCATTTAATCGGGATAAAAAGTATCGTATCGCCTAAATCAGCCCACACTCTGCCTGTATACCAAAATTTATCGAAATCCGTTCTGTACTTTCAGCGTGATTGACGGACAAACATACAAACATTCAAACATCCAAACATTCAAACATCCAAACATCCAAACACCCAAACATCCAAACATACAAACATCCAAACATCCAAACACCCAAACATCCAAACATCCAAATGTCCAAACATCCAAACACCCAAACACCCAAACATCCAAACATCCAAACAGCCAAACATCCAAACATACAAACATACAAATATACAAACATCCAAACATACAAACATCCAAACATCCAAACATCCAGACATACAAACATCCAAACAAAGAAACTTTCACATACCTATAAAATATTAGTGTGACTGATTATTCTGTAGATTTACTTCCTGTGAAGTACCTAAACTATTAACGATAACCGCGTCAACACCGAATATTATTGTCATATTAAGATTCTAATTCACCGAATATTATTGTCATATTAAGATTTTAATAACAATAATTATTATTATTCTAATGTACATTTTCTTTCTTTTTCCAGCCAAGAGATGGCGTTATTATGGTGTGTGCTGGCGTGCGCGCTGGCCATTGCGCAGGCTCAGTCGAACTACGGGTCCCAAGCGAACAATATCGAATACCAGGGAGAGGGGCTCCCTGAACAAACCGTTCTCGATGGAAAGGTCAGTATTCAGTAATATTAAACCATAAATTAAATAAGAAAATAAGTTATCCATGTGAATTTAAAACATTCAAGTTCAACCGAGGCCAACCAAAATTTGTCAGGAATCTGGTGGTAAAGATGTAGTTCAGGTAGTGCGTAAGCTGTGTAGCTACTGATTAAACTAAAGAAAGATTTAACATTAATCCCCTATTTATTATCAAATTGAAATAAATAAATAACCCCTTATTTCTTATCAAAATATGTTTTGTGTCAAGCCCTAAAACTAAACAAAATTACAGACTTAGTAACACATCGATTTCATTTCCTCATTCTGGGCAGTCGGTCTCAAAACCGATTGACCAATGAAGCAACTCTTTGTACCGATTTCTGGATCAATAAAATCACTTTTCCATAATAATATAGCGGGTAGCGGTCCATTCATATTTACGTGGTTATTGTTATCTCCAGCACAAACTGGGGCCAACCGCAAGGTACCGCTGTAAGTGAGTTTGTTATTACTCATCTCTGCACGTTAGGTGCGCACGCGCATGGAAATATAACAGGAATATCATACAATGTTGCATCTGTTGTTTGTTTGTTTACAAAACTGTAACTGGTGGTTTTGTTTTGGTGTTGATCGACCAATGGGTTTGAGGTTCAGTTGAGTTGGTCGCGGTTGAGTTTCGGATGGGTGTGCAAAGACAAACGATAATGGCGTTGGGTAATGTGACAGTGATCAGTGATCACTTGCCGCCAAGAGGTGGTCTCTTGCTTGTAATGTTAAAAATAAACAAAATTAAGATACACGACCCTGTCACAAAAGCTTTTAAAGGAACAAAACGGACAATGAAAAATCCCACTACAATCTGTCCAGTAGTTTCGGAGAAAAATGACATCTAATTACGAAACCCGTACCCATGTCAAATGTTTGTACAGAACGCTAAATTACGTGGATAAAAAATGCAACATCATGATAAATAAATTTTCAGTTAGCGAGTGCAATTTGTTGTGTGGCCTTGAGGGTACTGATGAGCGACGATTGTATGACAGATGTTACTCAACTGTATCATGGAGTACCTACTCTAAGTCCTCTAGAACCTAACGGGTTACCGGGGCTCCGGCTCGACGTGCAGGAGAAGGAACGGGGTGGTTTTTAGTCAGTAAGAGTCTGACACTCCCTCCCACCTTACCCAGGCGGGAGCAGACATTCGATGATTTTCCCCCATTGAAAAAAACTTCTATGTGACAACTCACATATAGTTATCTGACAAAAAAAAAATCAAAATCATGTCGGTTCTTACTCCTGAGAAGAATACGTCACTTCTAAGTACATTTTATATGCAGAAATGACGTTTTAGCCCCCACTCCTAAACTTTGATTAGTTTTATCTAAGTATTTTTTTATTATACGACCTAATAAAAAAATACGTGTCTAATATTTTTTCATTACCTAACTTACAGACTAATTATATTTTTCATCTTCATACCTTGTCATCATCCCAAATTGTATTTAATGGCGACGTGATGTGACATATGTTTATTATCTTCTGTTGAAACGTATAGTACATGGAGATTATAGATATCCATAGTACTGTTACATAATTACTTAATAGTATGATAGCAAAAGGTGTTTTATTTTCGCGCTAGTCTACTGGCTGGACGCTAACGTAGTGAGGGAGTTCCCACCACTAGATCCGTGAGTGTAGCGTTCGGTCTATTGCTTAATAAAATATTTGCTAACATCAAATCAAACCGAAAACTGTCAATGGCGCTACTGTAGCTTATGGTCTTGCATGTAGTTGTCAAAACTGCTGCATGCTTGTATAGGTACTGAGAATTCTAAATGAATCCTAGATGATGGCAGACCAGTGAATGCTATTACCTACAGCCTTCGGTTCTGTGCGAAAATTCAGCTGGGCTATTCTGCAATAATCAATTCGAACTTTTGAAGTGATTTCTGTCGCATTATTGCCAGTCATTTGTCAAAATTATTCTACATAGCGGACCACGATCGGGTCCATTTCGATTTTTCGAATTGGTAGTTACAGAATAGCCTTGTTGAATTTTTGCACGGAATCGAAGGCTAGGTAATAGCATTTACTGGTCTGCCATCATCTTGGAATTTCTATTTAAAATTCTCAGTTGCTATATGCAGCATGACACTATGAGAAACCTTTCCTGTTTTGCAGTCTTCATCTTTTTCTTTTGATAATCCTCTTCTTTGATAAAAATAACTGCTCGTTGGCCGAGTGGCTGCAAGTGCGGCAGCTAGATAAGGGGTCTCGGGTTCGATTCCCGAGTCAGAGTACTTATTCTTGAAACTAATCTCAATGCCAATGCAATTTCAATCCAATAAAATCTCAATAAATATTCAATGTCAACACTATACAACCCCAATCGTAACTGTTAAAATAGCATTCAGAGTACGGAATATAAAGTCATACTTAATACCATTTAGTTAAATAAATATCCGTGCAATACGGATGCAATGGGCGCTAGTGTTGCAACTCAAGAGTACGAAATTTCACAATACCAATGTCGATCGATCGGAATTGGATTCAAGAGTAAGCCCCCTGGTCCGAATAACTGGGTTTTTAAAAAATCTCAGTAGTAGCACGGAGTGGGTGTTACATGGATAGTATAGTGGCATTAAGTGACATAATGCGCACCTCTGATTACCCCCTCGGCGATAAAAAGCGTGATGTTATGTTATGATAAAAGTAATCCGACCTTAAGACTTGGAATACTTGCACATATATATTTCAGAGTTTTTTTCCTCACAGCAGAAGTTCTTGTTTTGGGTCGATGTTACCTTGAATCGGTAAACTTTGTGTGCGCTCAATACCTGCCCTTCTTTTGACCCAGAGGTCTTAAATCTCTCGGACTACTTCTTTTTTAATGTTGCTTTTTATTCATTCACAATTCAAGCACTACGGTGCAAATTGAGATTGATAAAAATGGTATCTGTTCTCGTTTTATCTAGGTTCCATTAAGAATTAAAATCATGGATACTAGCGATATAATTGGGATATTTTCTTTGCCGAAAAGAATCATTAGGTGCATTTAATGTAATATCCAAGCGAAAAATCGACCTTCTTCTTCTTGCTTGCTTCTTGCATCGACCATTGTTTTTGTCTCTGCATCACCCAAATGTCTGGCTGGAAGAGAATACCCTAGGCATTAAGTCCACCTTGTACATTAGTATGTGCATGAAGTCTTTAAAAAAAAAATCAATCTTTCGCGGCGCTTTTTTATCTTTATTTATTTTCATGATAAATTTTATAGCTAATTAGTCTTAATAATTTATCAAAACTGATACGCCATCATACTTTTCTCCCTAAGGTTTCGTCAAGGCCGCAACTCCAAAGACTTTTCTCTGACTAAACAAAATAATATTTTCAATAATAAAATCAAAAAGAATTTTAACTTTCAATTTCAAATTGTGAACGTGTTCGAATTGACCTTTGAAAATGAAGTGTGCCAGTTATTATCTGTGGTTGATAGACATTTTTTATTGATCCATGTCGTTCGATGCGGAAATAGGTTTTAATCGGACAATGCTTGTTTATGGATTTTTTTTATTATTTATCTTTTTTATTAATGTTTTTGTAGAATGCTATGTTCAGTGCGTTTTTTCTTCAAGATTTCGGATAGAAAAATACATATTTTGATATGGCTTTCTTTATTTTTTTTAGGAAGAATTTTATTTAAAAGTCTAATAAATCTTAGCTTCGTTTGCCGGTGTCTGTACCCTGAAGCTACCAAGTGTCTATATAAGACAAAATACTATTATGGTAGGTACTGATTACGGATATAGCCAACGGGTGGACGTGGCTACAGCTAGCATTGTCAATATAAGCGAAACCGCTCGTCCTGGCTTGAGAGACAAGATATTGTTATTGCACTTCAAACGGAAAGCGTATACTTATTCCTTTATACATAGGCTCTGTATTGTGGTGATAGCCTGAATGGTTTGTTCGTTTTCATTGATACACGTCATGTTATGTTGGCCACGGGTGATTTTTTCAAATTCCTCTGGTCTGGTCGTTTGCTTACCTCCAAGTGAAACAAGTGAAACAAGTGAAACAAGTGAATTTATTTCTGCAAATAGGCTACAAGGCAGCACTTTTACACGTCAAAAGTCCACTTTTACACGTCAAAACTCCAGGTGATTGGTTGCCTCGTTATCCCAAAAATAAGTACTTTATTCCTCCAGTTTGATGTTTTTCATTAATTTAAATACATGAATTAAAATATAAAAGACGTCAATAAGAAATGTCGCATAAATATGAGCAGTAGTAGGAAGTTACGAAGGGGCCGTAGGAGTTCAAGTTTGCCTTGTACAGAATGTATAAAATGGGTATAAAAAGGAAGTTTTTTATCTTTGTTTTTAAGTGTAGTTAAATCCTAAATGTGGATTTTCAGTCGCGTAACTATTTCAAGCCATGCTAGAGGCTCATATTCATGAGCAGCATTCCGCGACCCACGATGTGGCGACTATCGCGCTGCTACTGGCTTTTAGGCTCTGCGGTGGTGCGGGCCCACTGTATATGAGCCTCTAGCATGGCCTGAAACTAGTCGAGTGCCTCGTCAAACAGTTACGTTAGTAAACCGAAAACATAATAATTAATTTAGTATGTCTCACAAAAGTTATAATACAAACATCTCGTGGGATATTTAACGTATCATATCGTCCCATACAATGGGCACGAACATGTATAGAAAGTGCCCCAAGCTAATAATTAGCAGTAAAGATTTATAGCCGGGTTTGGCATCCAACTAACTAAATATAGAATTGTTGTTGCGACCATCTCGCTTCGGGGTAGGTAGAGTGCACTGATTAATGGTGATAAACTAGTCTCAGCCACCATCTTCTAGAAATAGAAGTTGTGATTATTCTTTTTTTCTTTTCATTTCTTTCTTTAAAAAAAAAACGTTTCCCAGATTAGGATTGTCTCCTGTATTGTGGGTGCGTTTACAAACATACAAGTTCACAAACACAATGACACCCAGACCAGAAAAAACAATTTGTGGATCACACAAAGTGTTGTTCCGTGCGGGAATCGAACACGCGATACGTTGAACGGCAGCCGATTGCCCAGCCAGAAATATTTCTCCTCGCTGTATTACCTGTACGAATATAGAATTGAGGAGTATTTAAGACATTGTTTTTAATCATCATTTACAATGAGTATGAGCCTGCCATTGGTCAAATGGTCGTAAGGACGATTGACAAGCAAGAGAGCTTGGGTTCGATTTGCGGATCATCAAAGTAACTTAACATAACATAACTTCACGCCTTTTATCCTCGAAGGGGTAGGCAGAGGCCGGAGGTGCACATTACGGCACTTAATGCGACTGTAGAATGTAACACCCACTTTTCACTACTTATGTTATGAGTCCCATGTAATAAGGGGTGAGCCTATTGCCATGTACCGGGCACATTTCCAGACTCCGTTCTATTGGAGTTATATAGAAGTACCTAAGTGTGTTTGCCCTATTTCCTTTGTGTCTTGTGCCCTCGAGAATAAGCCCCACTTAGATGTGAATGATAGATATTATTATGTAAAAATGTATGTTGATTGTTTTATTTATTTGTTACAGGTTACAAAACTCGATGATTTGAGTCCAGTGATATTCTTGAACCGAACGAAGGCTGCCCTCAACTGTGCCGCCGGCTCTATGCAGGTATTTATTAATTGGTTCATTAGAATCAGTAGTAAAACTATTCCCTATAAAAGTACACATGATTATTAAAATGCCTACCTACATTTCGTACACGGTTACTATAAAATAATATTAATTAATAAACATTTCCAATTGAAAGGGCAAAAAGTCATGAATATTTCTTTTAAAATTTTATTTTTTTATATAGTAAAATGTGTTCGTCCTTACCTATTTTAAATACATTTGAATTTAGAACTGATTATTTATTCTGTGACAAATTACTGGCACAATGCAGACATCGTGACAGAAAAACTATAAAATAATTTGAATTTCGAAGCCTTTGTATTGACAATAATGTTATGTTTTGTAATTATAATTTTAGCAAATTGTGGTTTAAAACATTGCAAGTAAGTTTGATACTATAATGCAATTAAATGTGAATAATTGAATATAATGCGAACAGTTTCATCTAATTTAGAAATACGAAATTAATTTTCTAGTTTCTCTATCATTATCCGATTCAAGTTATCCCGTTCGCACCCAGTTATATCTCGGAACGCAGTTAGCTTGCATTAACAGTAGATCTTTGGTTTGTCAATACTCAATGGAACAACTGCTAACGGTCCGTTTAAGTATCGGTAACCGTTGTTATGTGGCTATCAAAGATATCGACCCGTTCAGATTTGTGTTCAAGATAACAAATAAGGTTTTATTGGCTAGTTGTTTTGTCTATGGTCCGGTTACTTTTGTTATCTGTTGCAAATGTTGCAATGTGTTGAGAGTAGGAATATTGAATAAGTTATTGTTCTGTATTCGAAAGAACGTAATATATAATTGTAACGTATTCTATTAGTTTGGTCTTCCACCCAAGAAGTTAAATAAGCGTTTCCTTTATTTTTTATAATAACTATCGTCGGACATACTAAATTAAGTAAAATCGCGGGTTACTCACGTGAATACGTCAGTGAGCTGCGCGACATCGCCGCGAACGCTACTCATGAGGAATAACTCCTCTGTGGTTCGAAACTAATAGAGCTTTTCTCAGTATACTCACGTAAGTAACCCGCGATTTTAGTTAATTTAGTTTCCTTTATTGCACAACCTTTAGAACAACCTTTGTAACCACTGTCTCACAATAAAGATCTTTGACTTTGACTTGACTTGACTTGCAACGAATTAGTTAGTAGATAATTTTTAATGAGTAATAAATCAAAAAAGCTATTATACTAGAATACAAACTTTAAGTTAATACCTCCGTAAGGCATTAAAGTTATTCCAGACAATAGAATAAGTAACCATAGAATGCAAAAAAAACACTTATCAAAATTAAAATACCATTCGCAAATTAAAATTTACTAAGTCAATATAACATTCAATGTTTTTTTTTATAATTTTACGAAAAATTATTTATTTTATAAGATTAGAATTTAAATAAAATATTTTTATTTTATTTATTTTTATTTGGCTAAATATAGATACAATTAACTAAATAGGTACAACTTAAAATACATAAATAATTTAAAATTTTCAATGTTTTTATTTCAGATCGAGTTGAAATTCAACGAGAAGTTCTATGGCATAGCTTACGCGGACTTCGACCGTCACTCGGCCTGCCAGGTGCAGGGCAAGGGGGCTCTCTCCTACAAGCTGGAACTGCCGCTCAAAGGATGTGGCACCAAACAGGTACTGCACAATAACACACATCCCGTATCAGTAAGACTCGCTCATCTCCACATCTCTTATAGCCGTTTTCACCACCCACCCCTAAGACATCACTTAAGTAAGAGTTACTTAGTGTGAGGAAGCAGTTAAACTGACCCCTTACTTATACTGTGTCACTAATAGGTAGGTAAAAACCAAAATGTCGTTAAGTGCCATCTATCTTAGTTTAGGGGGTGCTTGAAATTTAGTAGAAATTAGTGAAAACGTAAATGATTTGAGGATATTCATCAACGGGGGCTTTGAGTTTGAAGGTCATCCTCAAATCCGGGCTGGGAAAGCCCTTGTTACTGATATGGTGTTGCTGATATCCGTGAGCGGCGCCAATTGCTTCACATCAGTGCCTTTAGCCAAACGCCATTTTAACGCTTGTCTACTGAGAAAGCAGAAAACTAAATGTACGGGGATGATACTGACAAGTGTCAAAATTTACGTCAATTCCATATAATTTGGGTCTCTATTCTACATGTAGACAAGTACTAAATGGCATTTGGCTACAGCTGCTGGTGGTGGTGGTATGCCGCCTTAACACATAAAAAATAGACATATTAAAAAAACATAGACTTTATCTATGGCTGATTTACGTAGCTGTTTATAATTCATTACTAGATGGCTATGCTTGCCTCAATGTACCGTCAAGTACATTTTGTATAAAGCGTATGTCGCTATATTCAGTCAACTTTCGACATAGGGTTATTAAGTGAGATAGGTCGTTATGTAAATGTTTTATTTAATAAATGAATAGCCGAAATATGCTTTCGTTCCCTCTGGAATCTGTGGTTAACGAACATTCAGGACGTTCATGAAACACAGGTTATAAAAACCAACCCCATTTATTAACTGACTAGCTTCTGCCAGTGACTTCGCCCGCGATCCCAGGGGTAAAATGCCTATATATTACATCAGATCATAATCTACCTCGGTTACACCTACCTACCTATCTCTACAGATCTATACTAATATTATAAAGAGGAAAGATTTGTACCTATTTTTGTATGTTTGTAATGAATAGGTGCAAAAAGTACGGGGGCGATTTAAAAAATTCTTTCACCAGTAGAATGCTACATTCTTCCAATTTGATATAGGCTACATTTCATTTTGAAAAAATTATGGATCTTTGGTAAAATTTGAATAAAGTAACCGAAGGTGTAGAAAAATGAGTCTTAAAATGTCTTTCGTCGAATGCGCTGCCGAAACTATTAGCGATAGAACAAAATAATGTACAACAATATTGAAGAACATCATAATGTCTACAAAAAATTCCGCGGTAGCATATGTCCAACTATTGTAGTTATGTCACTACAACAATACAAATTTCCAAAAATAAATAATTTTCTACCCTGTGCAAAACCGGGACGGGCTGCTAGTTTATTATAAGTATAGATTATTTTTCGACTTGATGAACACCAGACACCACTCGATTCATGTATACCATTAATTTACCTTCTCCCCCAGGATCCTCTGCGAGTGTTCACCAACAACATCGTGGTGAGGTTCCACCCAGGGTTAGAGATGGACGGAGACGAGGTCATCACCATCGTCTGCCGCTACCCGCCGCCCATCGTGCCCAAACCCGTCTTCAACCCCCTTATCTTCACGTAAGTTGCAATTTTTAAGTAGTTTAAGAGTATCCCCCTAGTTAAAGTGATTTAAAATTTCAACTAAGTAAGTTTTATCCTAAGCATCACATCAATAGCCTATAAGTAGCCACTGCTGACCAAAGACCTCTCCTCACACGGAGGAGGTTTGAGCATTCATCACCACGCTTGCTCAATGCGGGTTTGCGATTTCAAACTTATTATTAGAAATTATAAGCCCTGGTTTCCTCGTGATGTTTTACTTCTTTATCATTTTATTTCTTAATCCTCACTGTAGCCATAAAAATCCTAACAGCACTTATAAATTACAACAAGATACTAAGACACTACTTCTCTTTCCAGGCCAGAGACAGGTCCCCTCCCTGCGAAGGCACCTCTCGCCGGCACCCACATCTTGATGATCATCTGCGCGATCCTGTTCCTCACGCTGCTGCTCCTGGGTCTCGGAGTGTCCTACCTGTGTCTGAGGAGACGAGCCCTCCCAGCGCCGAGGAGGTTCATCGATGACTCCTCTGCTTCTATTGTTAGCAGGGAGAGTATTCAAGGTGAGTTAGAGGGAGAATGGAAAAAATTGGATAAGTGCATTACTGAAATTTTAGTTTGATGATATCAGTGAGAAATAAGTTTATACATCGCAAAAATGTTTCTGAATAATCCTTACTGAGAAGTTCGGTTGTTGGTGTTTTTTTTTAGAAAAATAAGAGTTTGTTCGCGGAAAGGCATAAAAGAAACGTAGGTACTTTCATATCTAATGTACGCTTAATTTTTCCAGAATATTTTCACTTATTCACTTTTTCACTTATAGTAAGAATATTGAACATTGAAAACCTCCATATCTACATTAATCGGACTTCAGAAGTGTAGTCAGTAGCAATTGCTTCATCGAAATGAAGCTCTAAAGTTTTAATTTAAACCCTATCTCCACTACACAGAGGTCAAGATCCCCCGAGCTCACCCAGTGTACCCGGCGGCGGCAGAGGTAGCCAGCGTGGCGTCCGACACGATACCGTCCGACTATCCCTCGGAGACTCCCAGCGAAGCCGAGCAGGCACACAGTAACGCTGCCTTCATGATGGACGAGTCTTACCATAGCGAAGGTATGTGGAAAGATTAGAATTAAATCTTATGCCTTACAAGCCTATTGTATCTCTAAATAATACTTTTATAGGTCTTCTTTGAGTTTTTCCTCCAGATATTGAAGTACCTAGAGGTTATATGTGGTTATCATGTTGAGATGACTCCATTTTTTTAGGGTAGTATTCTAGACTGCATCATGATACCAGATACCACTACAATCCTGTACTAGAACCCATTAATTCTACCAAATTCAGAAAAAATTAATAAAAGAGGATTAGATACGTTCATACCGGGCACATTTCCGGACTCCGTGCTACTACTGAGATTTTTTTTAAAAACCCTGTTATACTTTACCCGACCCGGGATTTGAACCAGAGACCCCTTGCCCTCATTATTGACTTGTTTTATTCATTTATTTTTTCCAACTACCAGGCTACGGCTCAACCCGCGAGGCAATAACGCAGAACGCCCGCCTGGTATCAGGCGCGGCGCCCGCCTTCGACGTGCGCGTGCGCGTGCAGCGGCCGCCCGCGCCGCCCTCGCCGCCCTCCACCATCACGCTCACTGAGACCGACGGAGGCAGTATACGGTGAGGACTTTGTTTTAAACTAGCTGACACGGCGAACTTCGTGTCGTCTAAAAAATATTTTCTCACATTTTAAACCTTCCCTGGACTTCCAAGAACATTTCAAGTCCAAAATTAGCCAAATCGGTTCAGTTGTTCTCGAGGTTTAGCGAGACTAACGAACGGAAATTCCTTTTTATATTAATGTTAATTTAAATGATTCTTTTCGAAGAGTCAAGATGTTTTCTATACTTAAGCCTTGAACTGCCGACAGAAAACTGTTGAGGGTAAATCCTCCGCTATCGTGGCCCATACTTTGTCCTCCATGGCGTTCAAGGTGTTAAAATAATATTGTTTTTTTAAATATAATATAGTTTTTGTATTAGTTGTGTGAGAATATATTTAGTTTTAATTATTGCCTTCATAATGTATCCATGATACAGTTCAGACACTGGACATTGTATATGGCTCGGAATTACTTAAATATTGTAAATTTTTTTATACGATCGTAGCACATCACGTCTCTGATAGGTTCTTATTCATTAAAATAGTCCTACTCACCACTCGCTTCACATTCATCTGAATCTCCCAATGCTAAAAACGAAAACTATGTTCACAATGACAGACAAGCAGCGACGTTCCTCTCCGAGGAACACGAGCGCCAGGAGGCAGTCCGCACAGTGTCGCCGGTGGCCCTCCCCCTCCCCGCGCGTGCCTCCCAGTTGCCTCCTCCAGAGAGACCTCCGAGACCTCCTGCAGTCTACTCCCAGGTTAACAGGGAGAAACAGGTTAGTGACTGGATTTTTGACTTGGTGTTTTGGTAGTTTTTTTGCACTTGATTTCTGGTCTTTTGAGGAAAAATTGAATCATATAAATTGGGTTAGACCATGGTGGGATGTGTCATCTAATATGGGGTTTCACATTGTCATGACCAATGTAAAGGACACTAGAACCGATAAAATAAGTACTTTCAAACTACTTAAATGTGAGAGGTTGCTATCTATATACATAGATATGTGTGTTTAGTTTTTAGATAAGTAATATTTTAATAAATTTTAATGTGTGTCACAGTGGTCTGTACCAAAAGAAAATAATTATTAATAATTTAAATTATCAGAAATATAATAACTTATTAAAACAAAAATGTATATTAATGGTGAAACAGGCCACTAATTATTATTTTATTGAAATTAATCTGTGTGTTAATAATAACATGTGTGAGGAATTCATGAAAATTTACCGATCAAAATGCACAAAATCATCGATTGCACAAATCGAAACCATTACTACAAAGTAATTCCACCATCAAAACACAATCACACACCAAGAGCACAAAATACACTTTGAATTCATCGACTCACATCACTTCAACAACTCACATCAAACTCACATGGACTCACGTTACAACATTTCACGTTTCACTTTAATGATTCCATCATCCCACGTGTGACTAACCAGGAGTGGTCGAGACGTCCGCGGTCCATCGTGTCCTTGAACACTGAGATGACCGACACGCACTCTGTCACTGAAGTCACTGACAGATCACATGCAAGGATGTTCCACATCAAGGTACTTACTAATGATTCATTTTTACTAATTTAATTTAATTTTGTTCATTTAGCAAGAGTAAAAAGGTAATAGATGTAATTGTTTGAATAAGAAAATAATATTGAGGGTTTTCAAAATGTTGGTTAATTAAAACTACCTCTAAGATTAACCCACAATGGGTTTCGGTTTGGCCAATTTCACCAGTTATGTTTTTAACAGGAAAATAGCCTTCAATCACAACATTCTAGTTAATATTTGTAGCAATCCTAAACAATAAGGACTGCCTTCTTATTATTGGCTGAAGGTGCTGTGAGACTAAAATGTCTAAATAGTGGGCAAGCTTTTTAAACAAGATAGTAACGAAACATTTGAATGGAAATATAGTTTTGCTTAACCTTTTATCTGTCGATATATGAGACACAATAGAAAACATACTGTGTCTCGCATAGATCTGCGTTCCGATACTCCACAGGTTAAAAATAAAATATATTTAAAATACTTTTATGGAAATTAACGCATTCCATCTTAATATAGAAACCTCCTCCACCACCTCCTGTAATGAGGGAGCGCTTGGAGACTGAAGAACAGGAGATGCTGATGGAGAGTCTCGAGCCCATCCCGGAGACACCCATCATGCCAGCCAGGTGAGTAAATGAACTTGTTCATTGAATATTATCAGTCATAGTTTATAGCATGATCTACCCATAATGGGTGATGTAAAGATAAAATGGTTGACTGTCAGAGAATGCCACGCATAATGCGTGAAGTCCGTAATTCTAATAAAATAAAAAAAAGACACTAAAAAGTAATTAACATCCATATGAGCTACTAGATAGATATGTTGGAAATTGGGACGACCGAAATTCGAAACACGAATGATCAAATATTTATATCCTTTGGTGCCAAACAGTAGCAAAACCTTCATTTCTTAATCCAACATAATGTCTGTCCTTTCAGGAAACCCGAAATCACATCCCACGTAGTAGACGACGTGTTCCTCCGCACGATCACCGAAAAGAAGACCATAGAAGACATTGAGCGCCACAAGCGGCTCGTGACAGAATACAAGCAGGTGCCGGCCCCTCCGCCACAGTTTGACGTCACTATACGGAACCACACGGTGCCTGAGGCCCAGTGGGAGAACTTCTCCGACATCAGCTCAGCATCAGGCATGACGCTCACTCCGAAGATGGAGAGGGTCCCTCTATCGTTGCCGCCGCAGAAGTACATTGGTGAGTTTGTGGTTAAGGTTGTTTTAATTGTGTTTGAGAGGTCCTTTAATTATTGTCTTGGAATGATTATGTAGATGTTTTTTATACCATATAAGTGACAGACAAGCTTAAGCAGTTGTGGTTACCATAGAACGTATCTGTCGGGTTATTTTAAATTAAAACAGAAGTTTAATTATTATAAATCAGAATCAAGACCGGCGCGCACCGACACAAAGAAGCTATGGCGTCAGTTAGCGGAGTGTGTGGATGAAGAAGCGCTTCGCTTGCGCGGCCGTGGGTTTTTATACCCCCGTCCCGCGCGTCGTCGCCTCTATGGTCGATGGCCATACTAATGCGCCGACACTTATGTTGTCTTTATTTAGAATTTGTCTTTCTACCTACAGCACTAGAAGAGACACGAGTGCTTTGCCGGCTTTGTAAAAATGACGCCCTAGTTTTAAAGGTCGTGTTTGTTCAGAAATAATACCTGTACAAACAATCTGTGGATAATACAATGTTTTCAAACATATATTTTTAACTCACTTGTTTTAATTTTTGCAGGTAAAGGCGGCCCCGACCTATTCTCCCCCGAATTAATCAAGCAGACCGACCGGTCTACCCAGAACTACCAGGCCCCACCATCAGACCTTCCACTCTTACCCGAGCTACCACCAGCTCGCAACCCATTGTTTAGGGACGAGGATGACGAGGATGTGCCAGAACCGATCCCAGCGCCACCTGTACCGAGCAACTGGAGTGTGCTTACTAGAGTCCTGAAGACTGAGGCTCAGGATGAGGTAAGAATACTGTTGTAAACAGAGATACTTATAGGCATGCGTTGGTTTTGTAGTACATTGTATGGTGTAGCCAAATACACATTGAGCTTTCTCTGAATTTTAATCAGAGACTATTTTTGATTAAAAGAAAAATATTTTACTGTTTAACAGCTTCTATAGGTTGAAGTGAAATTCACGTTACACTGTATTGCCTACTTGAAAATTTTTGTAAAGAAAAATTGTTTTTTTTTTTAATAGAGGTGACCTTGTGTATCAATGAATTTTTGCAAGATTTTCAGAAATTGACAGTTTAAGAACGAAAACTCATAACTCACAGCTTCCAAATATGAACAATATTCAAGCAAAATGTCTCCTAACTCCAGGTACTATCAGAAACTGAACGTTCATACCGTCTAACACGCGAGGAACGTCTCCGTTGGCGTGAGCTGATCACCCACGAGAGCACTCTCCGTCGTGAACTGGCGCGCTCCAGTACTCGCGAGGAGTTCTCCAGGGTGGCACATGATCATCGATTCGCACCACTTTATGCTCCACCTAAGTGGGAAGTCATCATTCGTATTCTGGCTCCACCGCCAGATAAACCCAAAGTAAGAAAATCGTAACAAAATAAGGTAGAAAATCGTTTTAAGTTAGTTAAATTAGCTGAGGCAAAAAAAAAGACAGTCTATTTAGTAGGCCACATTTGAATATCATATTTACAATCATGAGCCCCGATCGTGACTTGAAAGTAGTCGATATGCTTAGTTACCTACAAGAATAAGAGAATTAATTATTATAATGACTGAATGAAATTGACTACACGGTTGGTGCGGTGGCTGGGCAACCGGCTGCCGTGCAACGTGTCGCGGGTTCGATTCCCGCAAGGAACAACACTTTGTGTGATCCACAAATTGTTGTTTCGGGTCTGGGTGTCATTGTGTATGTGAACTTGTATGTTTGTAAACGCACCCACGACACAGGAGAAAATCCTAATGTGGGGTAACGTTTTATAAAAAAAGAAAAGAAAAGAAATAATGAATTTAATTAGTCTTCGCGACGGATATTTACAAAATAACAGAGTTACTCGCCTCCCTTTTTGTTGTTGTCTTTTTTATTTTGAAAATGGGTCATTTGGTCCACTGTCTCGCCTGGTGGTAAACGATGATGCAGCCTGTGCTGGAGTACGCCAACCCAGCAACTTCACTCGCGCCTTGAAGACACTTAGGTATACCTTTCAGGAGACCTATGTGTACCCATCCTGATTCAAATATAATTTGGTTTCCAGAACCGATACCGCAAGAAGACAGAGTGGGACTCACGTTCTCGACGTAGTTCCTTGCCCACATTGTACGAGTACGACAGTGACGCCACCTCGCTGAGAGATCCGCAACGATCGCGCCGCTCTTCATACCGCAGTGACCACGTTGATATGAGGTATACCTCTAGTGTCCTTGATAGAAACTATTTTACTTTACAGATTGTTAAAGTATTAGTTTATTAAAAGTGTTGAGAAATAACATAACATCACGCCTTTTTTCGTCGGCAGAGGTGCACATTACGGTATCTACTTAATGCCACTGAACAAAGTAACACCCATTTTTCACTATTTATGATATGAGTCCCATGTAATAGGGGTCACCCCCTATTGCCATATACCGGGCACGAATCTAGACTACGTGCTACTACTGAATTTTTTTTTAAAACTCAGTAGTACTTTGCCCGATCCGGGAACCCGAGACACCTTGCCCGGCAGTCGCCTTGCGACCACGCGGTCAACGAGGCAGACTGTTTGTTTATGATATTGATTTTCACTCAAAATCATTTCATTAGTAAAACTTAGGTATAAATTCAGCCTAGAGAGAATCTAAAATGTTCAGTAAAGGTTGCACCAGGGAGGCAACTACAATTTCTCTTTATGAACAATTTCTCATTTTAACCTTGTTTTCCTTCACCAAAGGAAAAATCCAAAAGAATTAACATTATGCTTTCCTCCATTAGGTCAATGTCAGAGATGATGGTGGACTACGCGCGTGAGCAGGCAGACACCCACTCGGAAGTGTCGGGCGGCACTCAGCTCGGACGGTACTACGATGACGACAGCGACTCCGAACATCCCTTCCATCAGAACCAGTTAGTATTGGCTTTGCCTGTTATTTTTTTATTGGGTACATGTATAGACATTTTTAAGTGTGGGAGAGCCATGCTTCGGCAAGAATGGGCCGGCTCACCACGGCCTCACAGAAAACCGACGTAAAGCAACGCTTGCGTTGTGTTTCGTCGTGTGAGTGAGGTTACCGGAGGCCCAATTACCCTCCCCTTCCCCAATCTCCCCAATTCCTGAATCCCCAACGATCCTCAAACTCCTAATCCCAAAGGCCGGTAACGCACTTGTAACGCCTCTGGCGTTCCAGATGTCCATGGGCGACGCCGATTGCTTACCATCAGGTGATCCGTCTGCTCGTTTACCGGCTTATGCCATAAAAAAAAGACATCTGAAAATATACTAATTTCATAAATTTCTTGTGACGTAAAATCATATCAAAGAATAATTTTTCAAGGTGACAACACAATCATAAAAAGATTGTTTTAGAAACGGGAAAAGTAATTGATATTGTGTAACGAAAACATTTTATTCACTTTGAAGTAAGCTGTAACAAATCGGTCTAAAGTCCAATTTAAGCGAAATATGTATTTTTTCGATCATACTTAGGTACTGAATTTGGAATTTTCTATTGTTTTATTTATTTATTTATTTATTTATTTAAAACCTTACCTAAAACTATCATTACAGTTTTCTCCATTGCGATAGCTTAGGTCTAAAACTAAATCTATGTAGGTACCTAATTACTAATACATATGCATACACAAACTTAATTAATCTTAACATTTATCCATAAAAAAAAGAGATAATACTAAAGACTTTATGGTCACGAGATCAGCGGTGAACTACTTACTAAATAACAATAATAAAAAAATGAAATGAAATAATAATCTTAATTAACATTTAAATAACATAATATATACAACGTAACTTTTACGAATTCACTCACATTGCAACACAATACATCCACCCTTTCATGGACTTCGTTCACTACTCTCATAGCTCTAGTGAGAGGAGCCCTAGCTAGTAAGTTGGTTCTGGCTGCCGGCACAGCGAGGAGAGGCGGGCGTCTCCTCTTCCACACATAACGGTCCGGCACACATAGCTGCAGGTGTCGCAGCACCCCCGGATTATGCGCTACGCCGCGCAGCAGCTTCACCACATACGCTACCAACGCAAAGTCCCTCCGCACCCTTAGCTCGTTGTACCCTACCATACCCAGAACAAATAGAGTAGGGTACATCAGGGGGTAAAATGGATAAACTCCATAAAGTTTGAAATACAAGTGCCTTGTAAATTTATTTTGAACACGTTCCAACATGACGCTGTATTTCGCCTCGTGCGGTGCCCATATAACTGCACTGTGCTCGAGGTGACTCCGCACTAATGTGTCATACAGTACCCTGAGTGTCGTGATGTTGGTGAACCCCTGAGTTTGTCTGAGTACAAAGCCCAGGTTCCTGTATGCCTTCCTACAGATCTTATTGATGTGTTCACGAAATGTCAGTTCTGGAGTGAAGACTACCCCTAAATCTCGTACCTGTGAGACTCGTTGCATCGGCTCGCCTTTCACCCTGTATTGATGCCACAAAGGAGCCCTAGCACGAGTAAATGACATCACCGAGCACTTGTCCACGTTAAAGTGAAGTCTGTTGACATTACTCCATTCAACCACTCGATTAATATCATCCTGCAGGCGTTCACAATCCGAGCTATCTTCAACCTTGAGTAGTAACTTCAGGTCATCTGCAAACAATAAACAACTCCCATGCCTGACAACTTCCGGTAAGTCATTTATCATTATGATGAACTCAAGAGGCCCTACATTGCTACCCTGGCTCACGCCCGACCTAGTATAGTACGGATGAGATTCATATCCGTTGTAATCTACATACTGTTGGCGATCCTTCATATAGCTAGCGAAAAATTGTAGTAGAGGCAACGTACATCCAACCTTCGCAAGCTTTCTCAGTAAAACATCATTATCAACGGTATCAAATGCCTTTCGAAAATCAAAGTACGCGGCATCCACCTGAACTCCAGAGTCAACTGACGGCACCACCTGCACCATAAAGTTGAGTAAGTTAGTTGTAGTGCTCCGTCCCGGCCTGAAACCATGTTGCGCATCGGATAAACATGCTCGCACTTGCCCCTGCACGGAACGCTGAATAGCTGACTCTAGTACTTTAGCAGGCGTCGATAGTACCGCCACCGGTCTATAATTACAAATATCAGGACCTGTTTTCCCTTTAGGAACCGGAATAACGCGCGTGGTCTTCCACCTGGAGGGGAACCTCGCCTGTTCCAAACAAGTGTTAAATATGTGTAGCAATGGCTCCGCCAGCACCCTCCCGCAGTCTCGAAATAGAAACGCTGGAATACCATCTGGACCAGATGATCGTTTCGGTTTCAAATTTCCAAGCGCCTGCTGAACCTCCGACAGACTTAGCGCCTCGATATGGACCCGCGAACTGGTCGCGCCAGCCTCCGCTAACGCCGCGCATGCGTCCAGTACGGGTGGCTCCTTGCTATACACCGACTCAAAAAAATTTGCAAACTGCTCCGCACATTCATCATCCGTTAAATGTTGACCTTCTCTTACAATACTATGCTTATTTAATGTTGATTTTTTTGACCTAATATATTGCCAAAACGATTTTGGATCCTTTTTAAATTGAAATTGAATTTTGTATCTGTGTTCTCTGTGTGCTATTTCTATACTTTTTTTAATGTAAGTTCTATACTCAGCAAATCTGATATAATCACTATGCAACTTGGATTTCTTGAATTGTTTATGAAATCTGGCTTTAATTTTTAAACTATTTATTATATCACTCGTATACCATACAGGGTATACGAATCGTGAGCTTTGATTACTAGGTTTTTTCCGTGGAACACATTCATTGATTAAACTATTAATGTTATCATAAAAGAAGTTCAACATTTCTTCCAAATCACGCATTTCATACAATGAACTCCAATCAGTAGAAACCAACTTAGAATACAGCAACTGAAAATCAGCCTTATTCCAATTCCATTTCGGTCTAATATCGCAAGCACTAATATTACTCGCACTGGAGGGGCCCGCCGAAACCGCGGGAGCATGCGCAGAGCGCACGTTGATCGCCAGCGGCGGGTGGTGCGCATCCACAGGCACAAGCGCGTGATCCGCCGCCCCCACCGTCACTCCCCCGCTAATGCCCGCACTCAGAACCAAATCCAGTTGCCGACCCAAACAATTAGGTATTGCGTTAGTTTGAGTGAATTCGCAATATGATAAAAAGCATTCGTAATAATTATTAATGTTAATAGGACAAGAGTACAAATTAAAATCACCGAGTACCAACACTTCATTATACCTATCGCACAATTTTTCAATAATTCCGAATAATAACAAGTAATCCGTCTCAGAGCTACCCGGTGGAATATAGACAACACAGCACACGAACAAAAAACGTTTATTTAAATGTACCGTAGCACATATCATTTCGAAAACACAATTGTCTATCGACACGTCAGTTATAGGTATTTGTCGCAGCTCGAACCGGTGTGTGGCCACGAGAATCGCGCCGCCTTGCTTTCGCCCGTCCGCTCGATCACATCGTAGTAGTCTATATCCCACTGGAATAATTTCTGCGTCTTGTATTGACTCACTGCAGCCTGACTCAGTAATAGCAAATAAGTCCGCGTTCGAAGATTCAAGATTGTTTCTGAAGTTATCTAGCTTAGTTCGAAGTCCTCTAACATTTTGGTAATATATTTCAATTACGCTATTACTTATCGAGGGGGGCTGCCGTTTGTTTACGAAACCAAGTCCATTCGTTAAACTCGGTATTTAATGGCCATACCTCCTCATTATTTAACATGTTGTAGTATTTTTCAGGTACTCCTATTACAAAAGACGAGTAATCTCTTGGTGTTTTATGTTTTATTTTGTCGATCTTCATAGACACTTGTGGTCCACATAGATTTTTGACATAGCTGGTTAACGTTTCGAGGGTGGTTTCAGGATGTAGACGCCATACATGTAGATATTTTTTCCTTTCCATAGCCATTATTCCGCTTATTTCCGTGTTTTTCCCAATTGTCACCTTTTTCGGCACACGACTAGGCTTTTTATTTTGTACCGTAGTCCAACCAACTTCTGCCTCCTGGTTCAGCTGTTCAACATGATCCGATAACGAAAGATTACTATCAGTAGTCATCTGGGATTCCACCCCCGTTGGTTTCATGGCCCCACGTGTGTTTACACAGTGCGTACTTGTAGTCGGTTGGGAAGTCACCTGTTGTTTGGGTTTAGGTTTATTAGGTTTATGCTTATTTTGACTAACGACTTCAGCAAATGATGACTGTGGGGTCGACGATACCTCGTTCGTTAGGTTAGCTGCAATGGAATGCGCCTGAGTTTGGCCATTTTGAGCATTTTGAACCAATTCGAGATTTATTTTTTCTTCTAACACCGTCATAATCTTAAGTAACTTATCAAGATCATTTTTTGTTTGCGTGAACTGATCTTGCATTAGCGAGATAGCGTTCGCTTGATACTCGAGGCGAGCCAAAATATCTTGACGGAACTGTCGAAGTTCACCCAGCAACACGGAGTCACCGGCTGTCATAATTGTCGGCGAGTATTGCGTCTGGCTTCCTCGCTGGGTGTTCACATTATCCGGTGTTGTGGTAACAGTATTATGCATTCTGCTAATATCCGCCCTAACCGGCGTGTCCATATTACCTCGTTTAGGGTTTAAACAGATACACTCAGGGCATACCCATTTCTTTTTATAATCCAAAGTAAAAGATTTAAATACATCGAGTTTAACTTTGATACATTTTAAATCGTACTCCTTCATACATGCATTATTCGAGCATTTCATAAAAAAGCTATCAGTAATAGCAGAGCCGCAAGCGTTGCACTGCATCGCCATAATTATTTTAATTTTCAAAATTTACTCAAAATAATGCTTTGATGTGTGAGTGCAACGTCGGTTGCCCTCGCTTCGCAACAGTGTGACAAGGACAAACTTATTCGCCTCGCGCAGCCTGTCTCTTTCCCCCGAGGTGAGGAAGAGCCTACCTCAGCCTATTTGGCTCGAGCGATGTTGCACTCGCGAATAGATGTAGCGAAAAAGTTCACTCCACTTTAGTGTTTAGATCACTTATTGCACTAAAACATTACGAGTCAATATCCCATGAATTACATCACAATTTTCTTGAGCAATTTTACTAATAAATTACGAACAACACGTCCGCGCTCGGTCGCGGCTACTCGGCGGTTTTCATAATATTTACTGTAGTTCAAAAATAAATAACAGGAAAGTGCAGTCATTTTCTTTTTATTTCTCTTGTAACTGTATTTTTGAAATATATTTCCAGGTCATGGTCCCGCCACTCCCTCCACCGCTCAGTGAGCCAGCCGTCCCTGGCGCGCTCGGCCACCGAGGTGGTGGAGCAGTGGACAGCTCCCGAGGGAGACGTTACTCCCACTCCTGGACGCAGGATTAGAGGTGAGGACATTTTATGATTGTTGAAAGTGAACAAATGCTTCAAATAATTTACTGTTTCAATACTCACAGTTGTAACCTCAAAAAGCCTTTTAATTTGAAATCTTGATAGCGATTTAGTGTTCAAAAAGAGGTTAGAGATATTCAACATTTCTGTCATAGATTTTGTACCCCAAACTTCAGAAGGACCAAGGAGCTTACTCTTGAATTCAATTCCGATTGATCGACATTGGTATTGTGAAATTTCGTACTCTTGAATTGCAACACTAGCGCCCATTGCATCCGTATTGCATGAATATTGAATGAACTAAATGGTATTGAGTTTGGCTTTATATTCAGCACTCTGAATGCTATTTTATCAGCTAAAATAGGGTTTGTATAGTTTTTAAATTGAATAATTATTAAGATTTTATTGGATTGAAATTGAGATTGGTTTCAAGAGTAAGCACCCTATCTGGGACAGGTGGACAAACAAAATATTATTAATCTCTTTAAACTTAATAAGTTACCTATTAATATTAAATTTTTCAGGTCCACAAGGGTTAACGACCTTCACCTCATCTGAAGTGCGAACCTTCCAGGCGTCCCGAGAATGGCGCGAATAAAATAAGTCAAGAAACGAAAAACAGATGGCGCTGTTCGCAATTTTACGATTTTTATGTACATTGAAAAGAAATCTCAGGAATTGATTGTAATTAAGCAATGTTATAACAAAATGAGTTTTGTAAGATTTTTGTTTAATGCTCAAAGTTACTCAAGTGATAATTGTTCACTGCCTTTTATTGATTTTCTTACATTCCTTTAGGTTTTAATGTAACTATTCCGTCCATATGTGACTAATATCTATGAGTGACGTAACTATCATAGAATGTTATATTTTAATATGTAAATATACGTGATGGGCAGATTTAAGTACAAGATTGTCTTTTCATATAAAATGTGATTTTAAATTGGGAGAGAATACAAAGGTACCTACTTTTCTCTTGTAGCAATTTATGAGAATGAAATTAAAAAAAAATGAATACTTTATTCTGTTCATCGCGTGGACAATAATGTAATAATAATTATATTATTGTTTAAAAATATTCTAATATTTGAATTGTATACCAGTGCATATTTCCGTTAGCATTTAGAGTTGCAAGTGTAAATGTTTTCGCACAAACTTCTATTTTCAAATATTTTTTATAATACAACTTTAAATTCTTCTTATCCCAATAAGTACGAATGTACGTTGTACCATTATTTTTTAAATACTTAACAAGTTTTATAATGATCAATTTTAGTTTATTATAAGTTTTAATAAAATATTATAATTTACTTAACTAACATTGTGCCAAAATGAACGATTAACGCTTCTTTTAAAATTCAAAATAATTAAATATTTTTATGTAAATTTTAAAATAATTTTTGCTTAATCTTGAAAAAGATGTTTCAGCCATTTTTCTTTTTATTCTTTTTTTTATTCTGCCAATACTAATATTAGTTGTATATAGATAAATATAAGTTGAAGATGTGTTATACCTAGCAGTTGAGGCAAGACGGGCCAGTATGGCGGACATTATGACCAATACAAAAAAAAAAAAATATTATTTTTTATTTACAATATTTATATGAAATTATGAATGTGATGTATTTTTGTAGACTTGTCGTATTAAAAAAATGCGAGGAAGATATAAATAAATCCTGTATTTAGTTTCTGACATTTTTGTCCTATTAAAGATTAATGACCATCATGACAATCTTGGGGATAAAGTGTATAATTAGTTTGGTTTATACAAAAAAATATTTACTTGAATTTCAAAGAAATATATTTCATTTCGCCTAAAATATTCTTATGATGAAGTTCTTGCCTCGATTGCTATGTGAGTGAGGGATACAAAGGGCAATGGGATGGTGCAAATATGTGCTCAATAACCGGTTGTAACCAGTTTTTATATGGAGACAAATATTGTGAAAATACTTGTAGTTATTTGGACACTTCAAAAAGCATTTGTCAAATCAATGCATTAGATCAGCATTTTATAATAATAAGTAATTACATAATACAAACGAATGCAAAATTTAATCCTAAGTGACAGTGACGTTTCAATTCAATGTTGCCAGATAAAATAAAAGGTAACCACGTGGTGCTAAGAATAAAAAAAATATCTAATATTTTTTCTGTCAATCGAATTTCTTTACATGTAAATTTTGTATTTACATTGTGAATTTGATGTAATTTTAATTAAATATACGTACCTTAACATTTTTAATTTTGCTGTTTTATTTTTATTTGTGAGTAGTAACTCATTAGTGGTGGGCTTAGGGGTCAGAGGAGAATTTCATTTAGATAAGTGAGATCCTTACCGGACCCCCGGTAACCCATTAAGACCTCAGTGGCTTAACTACAGTAAGATCCTACATATTCGATTATCAGGATAGTAAATTAATATCATACTTTTACACAACGCAGACCTTTTAGTTACCTTATTGATGTTGGTAAAACAAAAAGATAAACTTAATCAAAATTAGTGGTACCTTTAGTAGTTTTTTTAGCACAACATAAAACATAACATAACATCACGCCTTTTATCCCAGAAGGGGTACGCAGAGGTACACATTACAGTACTTAATGCCACTGTACAATGTAACACCCACTTTTCACTACTTATGTTATGACTCCCATGTAATAAATAAATGCCTATTGCCATATATCTGGCACATTTCCAGACTCCGTGCTACTACTGAGATTTTTTTTTATAAAAACTCAGTAATACTTTGCCCGAATCGAACCCGAGCCCCCTTACCCGGTTGTCGCACTTGTGACCAATCGGCCAACGAGGCAGTCTTTAATATATTGGAGCAGACCATTCATAGCGTTGGGCTTATAATTTCTAATTATAAGTTTTGAATCACCAATTTGCATTGATTAAGCTCAAACCTTCTCCGTGCGCGAAGAGGGTTTGGTCAGCAGTGGCCACTTATAGGCTGTTGATGATGCTGATGATGAAGATTCAAAGCGCGGAAAGCGGTCTCGTTTTGATCTTGTAACTCGTAATAACTAAACCCCTGAAACCTTTTTTTACGGCCGGTGAACGAGCTGACGGATTACCTGATGGTAAGCAATCAACGCGCCCATGGACACCCGAAACCGTTACAAATGCGTTACCGGCCTTTTGGGAATTGGGAATTTAAGGATTGGGGGGATTCGGGGATTGGAGGGACTCGGAAGGGAGGGGGATGTAATTGAGCTTCCGGTAACCTCACCCACACGACGAAGCACAACGCAAGCGTTGTTTCACGTTGGTTTTCTGTGAGGCCGTGGTATCACTCCGGTCGAGCCGGCCATTCGTGCCGAAACCATGACTCTCCCACACTTCTTGATACAATTTGTCGCTATCTGGTCGATCATAGTACATTTTGTCGTGTCGGAATGTTGTGTCATTTCGAAAATTATATTCTAATTGTCCTTCAGTCCTAAATTAATATAACCTGTAGTGAACGATTAGATAGACAATCAAATCATCTTGAATTCATAATATTTTATTTTGATCCATCGCAATTCAAATAAATCGAACAAAAATTAACACTAAACATTTATAACAATCAATTATTACTCGTAAATTAATAAATTCGACGATCATGACATTTTAATTTATCTACAAGACAATTTCATACGTAATAATTACTAATTTTTAAATTTCCTCTAAATAATTCGTCGTTTAGGAACTTAATAAAGCATTTTTGCGCACATCCTTTTCTAGTAATATACATACATAATTATAATTTATTTATAATGTTTAATATTATAAATATCGTCACGCATCTAAAACGTTGAACATTTTGGCGCAAAATTTCAAAGAATATTTTTAAGAAAAGACAAAGTTTTACAGTATTAGTATTTTGTTAATACACCCAAAAGAAATTCCAAATTCTAAGAGATTTGAAATGCTCATAGGAAATAATCGCTAAAGTTATCTGCTACAAGAAACTGAAATCTTCATAAAGAACATTAATTGTAATGACAAAGGTAACATCAGGAACTAAAAACATCGTCACACTAGAATATACAAACGACTATCAATCAGTGCGTCACGTCAAACAAAGCGTTACAAATATCCAAGATCAAACCGACGAAGAATATAAAGACGAGAAAAAACTATATTACAATATCAAGAAGAAACAAATCAACTTCAAAGAGAATACAGATTTAACAATTTACAATACAAGTAGTTAAAACAGTAACCTATCACATATATTACAATCGTCTATCAAGCTCAGATACAAATAAAACTATTTGTACAACTATGTGAAGTAATCAGCTACAATATTTACAGTCAACAGTTAGTTATGCATAGTGTAAGATAGTTACTACAAACACAACAACTAAGATATGAAGTATCGACAGGTCCCTTTCGTCATTATTTGGCAAATATTCTGTTATCTTTTGGCATTCGACTTCGTTATTGTATTCAACACTTTCATAAGCACACCGTCTTTTTTATTCTATTCATGGTCCAAAAGACCGTCTACTATTACAGTCTCTAGGTCTGTATGGTCTACTATTAAATCATGATCTACACTGAACACTTGATCATTGTCTCATTGATCATGGTCTATATCTGACTGATTGATCCGAGAGATTGCCGTCTTCTTGTCACCTGTTTCCAAAATCTTTTCTCGAATTGTTTCTCCTGTAAGAGATAGCATTATTTAGGGACTGCTGGGCAATTGTGTTGGATATGGTGTAAGGTATCTTAAATCTAAAATACAGGGTTATTAGGTTTAATTTGGATTTTTCTTGTGCTTCCATTTGCTAGTGTTTTCCTGATTTGATTCATAGACGTAAATAACCCTGTATATTCTAATTGAGCTTGCTACTTAAGACTGCGAAGTAAAACTAAGATTTCATCCAGTGAAAATGTCTCTGTACAAAATTCAAATCAATTAAAGACATTTAATTACTAATAATATGCAAAAAATATTAGCGAAAACGAAGAAGTGGTCGGCTTTGTTAGCGCTACACAAAATAAAGGACCGCGTGAAACTAAGGAATTACCAGCTAAGCTGCAGGATGAAGAATGAAAAGCTTAATGATATTTTATTAAAAATATATTTTCGAGAACACTCGTTCCAATCAAAATGGACAGATCAGTTCAACAGACAACAAAAAACAAATTTAGCGTATCTGAAAGCTGGATTTAAACGTTAATTTCTACAATTTAAGCAGAGAATAAATTGACATCAGCTTAGTGCCAAGACAATCACAATCATTACAATGTACCAAATGTTAAATCTTAAGACATAGGTAGGTAAAAGGTTAAAAACATGAAACATTTTCACTAAAAAGGTTTTAGGACTAATTTAACAATAACATTTTTGAATTTAAAAGATTTTTTTTTATAATGAAAAGAAAGGCAATTTTATTGGCCAATTTTAATGAAATTTATCTAATTTATCACTCACTACTCTTTCGTTTATTTCAATGTCCACTTACATCCACGACTTTTCGACTCTTCAAATATTAAAATGTCCTTTAAAATTTTATAAAACACGACTGTTGCTTCATTATTTATCCGTACAATATTATAGTTATCATTTCCATTACAAACTACTTTTACTTACAAGATTTTAACGTTTACCTCAACTAATTTACTAGGACGAAATTTCATTAACATTTTAACTTCTGAATCTATATTTAAGGCAGGTTTTATAATTGTCCCATTGACACTTTCGAACTCACTGGCATCACTTATACCTAAACCCCGCAATGTTCAATTGAATTTCACATTTAATATTAGTTTTAAACGTGTACATTTTATATAGGAAGTTTCTTCATTATATTTGATTTAAAACGCACCACTATATTCACCCCGCAGTATGAATATACTTAATAAAAACAATGACCAAGATAACCCGCATGAACCGTTTAGAAAATGGGTTAAAGGACAAGTTGAAATTGGAACTCCAGAAAGGACCAATGAAGAAGCTTCCTTTTTTGGTTTAAATCCAGCTGATTGGCACAGAGAAGGCGCGTGCACTGTGCTCAGACATAGCCATTGACAAAGCATATCTTGTAATAGCCGTTGTTGCTCACGGAGGTGCGGCGCGGGGAGAAGGGCCGGCCCGCCGCCGCGCTCGCCACTATGAACGGCTCGCGGCGGGGGCTATCGGACGACGCGCGGCGCCGGAGGAAACCCATTCTGTGTAGGTAAAATTTCGGAAGATGTTATGACCGTATTAAGTTCAGATATGGGTGTGTAATTTAAAGACTGGCAAATAGTAGTGGTTCAGAAGAATACTGTAAGAGTGGAATTTTGGGTAGAGCTGGTTGCATTTTATCACACAGTATTGTTCAATAAGTCTATTTTTCTATGGCCTCACTATTTGATATTGGTTCAAGAATGATGTTAAAATATTCTATTAAAGAGCATCTACTGGTTTCCCATTTGTTTTTAAGAATGATTTGAATATTATCGTCAACATTACTGACATCTTCCCGTTCTGGCATAGAGAGCGCGTCCGCGAACGCATCGTCTGAACTTCCGCTCGTGCCAGTTGCTCCATCTCCATAGGTTTCTCGCTTTCTGGAACTGAAAATTAATGTGAAATAAGATTCAGTACATCATCATTGAATCAACCATAAGACGATAGCTTCTCATTTGTGCACCTTTGAGCCAACCACTTGGGTTTCAGATTGAAGATTCACTTGTATGACAATATGATTTGAATCATCAATTGATTTCGAATTTATTGAATTATTTCCAGCCCTTCTATTGTTCTACCTTGATTTATTCCTTTCTCTAAAGTTAACCATTGGAACATATGTGCCATATGACCTTTGGAATTCTCATGTCTATATAAAAATTTTTCCAGTCAAAACACCCTCCATGCACCATCTGAGATTGTGAATTGCCAAATAGTCTGAATGGAAAACAGTAGACTATATTTTGGGAAATGGGAATAAACTAACCAGCGTTGTTGAGTTTTACCATTATTTAGTTTTTCGAGATTAGATAGAAATTGGAAAAGTATCTATGATCATCACCTTTGGGATAACATTCATCACCGCTATTTAAATGTGATAAAGTATTAAATTTTAACGCACCCTTCCAAGCATATACAGAATTGCGCGAAGTAGTATGCGGGGCGGTTCGGCGCGGGTGCGCGCGGCACAGCGTCACTGCGTCGGCGCTCGCCACGCGACGGAGCAGAGACCGCTGGCACGCCGCGCGAAACGACCAGGGGTCGGACCCGCCACCCTGATACACATTGCATAACGAAATATGGGTTAAAAGTATTCTAAAACTTCAGAATTTCAAAACAGTCCACAACTGCATGGACATGGGCTAGGAACATGAAATCCTACTTTATGTTTTCTCATTAGGTATTCATTGACTTTATTAATCTTCTATTTCTTCATCAATTACAATAATGACATACCCAGGACACCTCCTGATCTGCCAGCATGTCCTTCCCCTGGTCCAAGGCAAGCCTCATCTCCGCTCGAGGACTGAGTCGCTCCGGCGTCCGTGGTCTCTGTTCCTCCGGTTGTGAGGTAACCTCCGGTGCTGGTGCTGGCTCCGAGGCTGAAACGGCTGTAAAAAGAGTTGCTTGTATTGCTCCATAGAAAAACCATGAAAAGACCGTGGTCTATCTTGTTACGTTATTAGTGTGTCTCCAAGGGAAGGCCATGTCCATTTTTGTCTTCACAACACACTCTTTTTGTTTATTGCTATGATAGATCTATGATAATAAAATATATGGTGACTTTGTGCTTCCTACTTGGACTTTTCATGTATTATTGGTTCTTGGTCTACTCACGTCACGAAAATTAAATGTTAATACCTGGTGCGGGTTGGTTGAGTGTCGTAGGGTTGTGTATAGTGGTGCGTTCGAGTGTGGAGGGCGTGCTGTCCGAGCTGGCTGAGCCCCGACGACCAGCTCCAACAATGGCACGCACCTCCGCAAACTCTTTTGAAACTGTAGACATAGAAATAATTGATGTGGTTAAAAATAAAAGTTATGTATGTTATCACAGCAAATAAATGATGTTGAACGTACCAGATAGTAAGGGCGTCGAAGGCGCCTCGTTGGTGGGTGTCCGGTCGGGGCTCAGCTCGCACCCGACGCCACCACCTCCCTCCCCTCCAGCATGCTGCACGACGCCCGCACCCTCGCCCTCTGGTCCTGCAACATCATCACACCTGTACTCTGAGAATAACAACAGTTTCGTGAGTAGTTCTGACTCGTCTAGTGTTATTGTTCTGTATAATGATATGCGGTTTCATTTCAAACCTCGGTCTACTTGGTCTACTCAGTAAAAGACTGAAAGACCGATCTACTCATGTTACGGACCAGCGTCAAAATAAGCGGCCAAAATTCGAAATGAAACGCAAGTACGACATAAAGATATAATAAATGAACGTGTAATAAATTTGTTGAATAAATAGGTATTAGTGTAAGATACGTATGATTGTGTATAAAAAATATGTATAGAATATATTGATATATTGTATATAAATATGAAAATATTATAGAATGAATAAGACTACACGTAGAGTGCTAGCTACTGATACTGTGCTAGTAGGGGTACAAAGACAACGTTACCAGATAATAAACATGTTCTAAGCGAGTCCATTACATGAAAGCCAAACTTACAGTAAAATAAACATTATTCCTGGTTATAACAAGTGTACGGATTAATACTTCATAATGATACTCATGCATCGTGCTAGTCTGAGTAATAATATGGTCGCCATAATTATAATATTTGTGTATAATGACGAGTCTTTCGTTTCTCACCTTCCCTCATATGTCAAGCTGTCCATTTCTCTGTCAAAATGTATGTTCTCTGTTAGTATGTTTGTGTGCTTGACGTTGTGTTATGTGCTAACGTTGACGCAAACTGCGTTGTCCCAATAGTTATCATTCTCAGTCATGCATTCATCAGTTCTAAACTGTTCCTTTTATTTACATAATGATGACGAAGAAGAAATGAAAGCGTCCAGAAAGATCGTTGGCGAAGATGACTTTCAATCAGCAATCGCTGTTCTAGAGATGAAGAGATGAATGCTAAAATAATGATCCCTATCAATCACACAGTGAGTTCTAGCATCGTCACACATGGTCCTCTACACACTTACCAAGAACAAGTATAGGGGCGTGGAGACAAGGTTGCGGACTCACCTTGATCGGAAGCAGAGGGCGGCGGGTGCGGCACGTCGCAACAGTCGTCAGCATCGAGGCCACGCTCGCTGTCCTGCGCCAAGCGCCGCACCAGCGGACCAGTCACAATGTGAGATTTAACCTAGCTACGGGACTTTACTTCCATTCGCCAATAATCTGGATCCAAGTCCAGTATGAAAACTTTTCAAAATATCGTTTTATGCAAAATTTTGAATTTTGTTTGCTAACGCGTTTTAACGAACTCTGTGTCATGGCATAGCTATTTAGTTCAAACAATGTATAACATTTAAGATACTGAGGTCCTCAAATATATCATGCAAGAAGCATGCTCGACCAATAACATTATTTTGTATGGTTATTGGCATGCTATGGGGTTACAACGATACTCCTACACAACTATAGTAATATTTCTATCTGCCAAAGTTGACTTGCTTTTCGAGGTCATTTAGCATCATTAACATATTCTAAATAAATAAAATGCATTTCAAGAATGTGGCGTCAATTTTGACAGACTGTAATTCTGTAATATAGGTACATACATTACATCCGAAGTAAACAAATACGTGTTAGTTTATAAATAACATATAACATTGAAGTACATAACAATAACATCTGTTACAGAGGGACAACATTTTGCACCAAATTTCGACTCTGGAAAATTGTGAACATTGTTATTACAGGGATTGTTATAGTGCAATTGGCAATTGTGATTCAGTTCTTAATTGCTTTCAATTACTTGGGGATATTGAACTTTGGTGCAACTATTAGATGATTTTCTATTGTAATTAGCATTAATATTCACCTGGTCATCAGAGTTGGTGGGGGTGGGCTTGTTGTCTTCACTGCCGCTGTCTGAACATTCTTCTTCCATCAGCGGCTCTAGTCTTCTCCTAAATACGTCCCTATGTTGAAGAATGTTATTAGTTATGTCTTTGGTAATTTTTATGAACAGCCAATTGGATTTGGAGTAGACATTTTACTAGGAAGTTAATATATTATGTATAATATGTGTTCATAATAACAAGAAAGTGATAAAAGACTTCATTTGATAGTTACTCTAGTACAGCATTTTGATTCCAAATAAAATGACATTATAGCACAAAATGCTAAAATTAAAACTACAATTTACTGTGCTTAAGCTATGATTTCTTGGTCTATTAATGAAGCTCTGTCAATATACTCCTAAATAGGGTAATGAACTAGGAAATGATCATGCATTATGATGAGAACAAGATATTTACCTTGGCAGTAGTGGTCTAAGAGTCGTTGGTCCTGTGATTGTGGGAGCCATGAGGAGCTCATCCATCATCAGCTCTGTGTCATCGTCACCAGCGTACGACGATGATGACTTCGTGGGTGACTGAAATAGTGTAGGATTTTCCATTCAAAAGGCCTAGGATGCTTGGTGAATATGGATTTTTTATAAAGATTATCTCTTGTTTTAAGTGTACTTGAATTCTCTCCGGTCTTGTCGGAGTCTCGCTTGCCTTCTTTTCGAATTAAGGGAGTGGCTATGTGTTACGAGTAAGTAGGTACACATATCTATCTCCTGCATAGTGGGTTATTCTAGTTAGCTCAAACTCAATGTCTTTATTTGCATGTTAAAGTAATACATAGGTACAGGTCTTATGAAATAACAGGCACAGCTTAACGGCCTTATTCAGCTTAACAGACCAGCTCACTATGATCACAATCGATTGGCAGACTATATTTTTATTATTTGTTTATGAAACCGCAGAAGTGATCTTCTACTTTTGATCTAGTAACCTCACACATTGTCTTATAAGAATTCCTTACCGATAAAGTTCCATGTTCAGAATCGGGCAGGTTATCAGACAGATCTCCAGAGGAGGGAGTGCCCCAGGCCTCTTCCCCGCTTGCCCCACTTCCCTCCCCTGTCTCACCAGTACCCTCCTCTGTACCGATGGTAGACTTCCAGTCACTCACACCGAGACATCTGGTAACATTAGGTACATTTAGTCAGACGGAAAACTATTAGTCAGTTTTGACTACATAAATAGGTTGACTATATAAATAAGTTGACTATTAAAAGTGAGTATAAATTAGTAATTTGACTAAATTATTCTATTATATGATTATTTTTGGTATTGATATACCTATTGTATATATTATTTGTATTGTATTCTTTACTCAATCTAAATAAATATCATAGAATGGTCTACAGTAACATTATAATACCAATTCTAGTACAAACAGTTCCAGTAACATTAAAATACTATTTTAATGACTTTAGTACAAATTTTAAATTCTTTAAATTACATACTCTTTACGATGGCGTAATCTCAATTTAAAAACTTTACAACTATTGTGTCTAAGTCTGTATTACATATGAATAAAACTGTATAATCAATACTAGCTCAATATATTACTTACTTACATATTTCTAGCATTAAAAACTATTTTTTTCTAAGTCAACAAAAATACAAGTATTTTTCATCTATCTGTATATTCCAATACATACACATGTATAGCTCTATTAGCTTAAAGTCATTAACAAAAACCAATTATAAATGATTAAAGACACTACGTTTTACACCCACACATACTCATCGTTCGCTCTCTTTTCTCCAACGACTTGATTTCCACCTATTTTGGGAAAAATATGGTTAAAACAATGTACAGTATGATCGTTATAAATATAGGTACTCTCCAATAAATTATACAAAGAAATATAAATGAAACAATTCACTTTTGAACTGAAAACCACGTATAAACCATAAAATAACGCAAAATATAGGAATAAAAATAAGATAAAATGAGTTAAAAATTTCGTGAGACATACTAAATTAATTATTATGTTGGATATACATCAATACATAGTATAAAACAAAGTCGCTTTCGCTGTATGTCCGTATGTATGCTTAGATCTTTAAAACTACGCAACGGATTTTGATGCGGTTTTTTTTAATAGATAGAGTGATTCTTAAGGAAGGTTTGTATGTATAATACATGCATATTGCACCCGTGCGAAGCCGGGGCGGGTCGCTAGTATATTATATATAGAGAACATATATTAAGGACGAGGAACTCGTGGATTTGTTACTTACGTAAGTAAGCCAAAAACATAATAATTAGGATAATTTGAGATTGGAATAGGTATAATATAATAATAATTACTTCATTTGAGTAAAAGTTAAAACGTGACCCGACATACATTTTTGTAAAAGGAATAATAGTTATGAATGATGATGAATTACTCTTAAAGAATACAAATCTCTAATCTCATACCTCTCTAAGAAGGAGGGCTGTTTGTGTGCTATAGACGTGTTGGGGACACTCTCAGTATAACTGAAGATGTTCATCTTTTCCACCACGAAGGAGCCAGCTCGCGCCGTCCAACCCATTATTCCACCAGCGGCTCCGCTCACTGAGGAAAGAAAATAACTTCATAACCATACAAAAACAGAAAGTACTGTCATTGATGTCAACCCGGAATCATTAGTTCGCAAGTACTATATACGAAAGTAAGTAAAGTAGGAAGTAAAAATATTCTTTAAAAATAAAAAACAAGTAGATCATAGTAATTCAAAAGGAAAATGAGCTTTGAACAACTTACCTGGGTTATTGTAAGCTTTAGAAGTTTCTGGCTCTTGTGATGTCAGTCTTACGTTACCATCGTCAGTCTCATCGGACGGTAGCCTCTCCAGGCTTGACATTGTGCCATATCTTAAACAACATTAGTAGTCATTATAAAAACAGTGACTGATTCCAACTAAGCACTCTAATTGTTATCATATCACCTTTTGAGCGTAACATAAGGCAGGTCATCTGGAACGTCAGGGGAATCTGGGGACTCATCTACAAGGTCATCCTGCAATATAAAAATAGCTCAGTAACCACGATCACAGTCTACAGGAATCCAAACAACTCAAAAGAGAACTCACAGTCTTATTAGTGGAATTAAAGTCGGGCGTTGGTGGAACAACAGCTATGTTAGGAACAGGAGATTCTGACTTGACCGAGCCAAGACTACCTGGTCTAGAACGAGGGTTATTCAAACTCGTAGCTGAACCTCGTTTAAATGGTTCTACTCTCATCAAATGCGCCGCAGGATTTATGGCCGATAGACCCATCAACATTAAAGGTCCTAACTCTAAATCTTCATCAGAACCAGCATCAGTATTATTAGCGTTCACATCTTCCATTCTTTCAGTCTTCTTTGTTATATCCCCGTTCATTTTACTGACTGCTGAAATACCCATTCTAGGGGACCGTCTGAGACCTCTCTCTATTTTGAAGTCAGTTTCATCTTCGTGTATTGAATCGTCCTCAAGGAATACCGAAGATGTCTTCAGACAAGAACCAATGTTTTCCCTCTTAGTTACAATATTCATGCCTAAAACTTTATTTAATACGTTTTCAGCCTTTTGTCTCGTGATCTGTTCTTTCCTGGCGGACGCTGGCGATGGGTAGTTGGTTGTGGCAGTTTTAGTTTTCGTTAAAGTTATACTTTCGACGCATTTCACTTCGTTCAAGTATTTCTCTTGAGCAATGACGCATTGGACCTGGTTGGCGATGTTTGAGTTGGACATTCTTAAATCATTAGAACTAGAGTTAAAGACCATGGAACTACAAGTGGTGTGGCTAGTTGACAATGGACTGTTTCGACTACTAGATGAAGGACTTGGCGATCTTATCGAGTTGTCTTTTCTTAATTCTAACTGACTCTTCGTATGCATGGAATGGACGCTTCTGCTTAGAATTGGTGAATCGGTTTTTAGTTCGTACGACGTTGATTTTAGCATTCTTTGGCTTTGTTCTATTGAATCAATGACCTTCTTGGCCGCTCTGGGACCATCTTCTGGACGTAATTTTATAGCGTTCTTACGTTCTAAGTGGGAGAAGTTTCTTGGTTTACGGTTACCGCAGTGAGCACTACATGGACTGGTGGAACTTTTGTTAGAGTTGGAGTTTTGGGGCGATGCCTCGGTTTTTGGTTTGGCAGGTATCACCGGTGGCTCCTTTTGGGACACTAAGGGACTATTTGGCTTGGACAAACACTTTTTGTGGCACTGTCTGCAGACGGGTATCGTGTCTACTACCACTGGGCTTGTCCTTACCGTAATCTGAAACAAAGTGTGCTAATACAAAACCATGAACATATTTCAATTTAAAATTAATATGTTTACTACATACTTGACTTCCAGAATTGCTACTTTTAGACGGACTACGGTCGTTTTCCTTCTTGTCGCCTGGCGACGTTCCTTTAGCTTCGTGACTCGAAACAAGATCAGCTACTTCTAGAAGGTTAAGCTCTTTGGATCGTTTTCTTAGTTCTTCTACGCTCCACATCTAGAAGAATTGATTAAATATAGTTAACCGTCTCAAGAGTTACTGTACATTGAAATGCTAAGGCCGTAATTTTTTGATTTTTTTCTGTGGTGTCATTACTTTGTTCCAGATATCGTTTTTACGTTTAGTTTGAGATACCTTGATCCTTTACTTACCTCCATATCAGGCTCAGGAGGATCTAGTTCCTCTGCCTCAGGCAGCTGTGTCATCCACCTCTGCAAATGTAAAGTGGAACCTCTGCTCCTAGTACTCCTGGCACCCTCTGTGGCACTCCCAGCCCCTCCTGTCTGCGTCTCCACTGAACTGCGTCGCGTCTATAATATTTTTTTAGATTGTTTTTCTTTTCTTACAATTTTATTATTGTTTGCTATTTTTAACTTGATTGCTATCGTTTGCTAATTTGTTGTTATCGCCTTGTGGATACTTGGTGATCTGATTAAATATCAGTTATACAAATTTACTTACCATCAAAACATAGTAAATTGTTCGGGCTGGTCCATTATGTTTGTTTTGGGAAACATACATACCAACTTTTAGTGCCTAATACTTTACTGTCTCAGTGGCTAGGTTGCCATTTTGTAATAATTAATCGAATTAATTTTGATTGAATTAACGTATAGTGCAGGTTACCTATTATGAAATTTTCTAATGTTATCAATGGTTTCTTCGGTTTAAATTTCTATTTGTAATTAATCTCTTTTCAATTTCAGAAATTAAATTACCTTTGGAATTTGTATGTTATTTTAGTAATTTGGTTGCAAAATGAAATTTCGTTTTAAAAAATTGGAAACTGCAAGGCAAAAATGATTTTCTTCACCTGAAGATGATTATCACTGTTTCCCTTGCCTGAATATCAAGGACCTTGACATCGTATTTATTTATTGTTTCCAATATTTCTACCACCAGATTTCAAGTGTATGAAGTCGAGTTTGAGAACTATTGTACTGATTTTATTTTGTATTAATTTTAAAAGATTTTAGCTTAAATATAATTTAGTAAAGATATGCTTTAATTTATCCAATGTGTGCAAATATACAGAGAAAAATGGTAGATTTCGTAAACTAATAACATATTCGTTAGCGTCGCAAAGTTCGAGGATCTCAACCAATTTCAAATAAAAAGAAATATATATTCGCCATTGACAAAATCACTTTATTTACGGATAGTAAGAAATATTCTGCTCCGATCTAAACATAAACATCCAAATTTTATATTAATCCATTAATATGTGATGAAGAAACCGGAACGATAAGTAAAATGTTTTCTCAAAATTATAATTTTATCAATATAAGACTATATTAAAAATTTACACACAGCCAAAGACATCGAAAATTATCTGATTCTAACTACGTAGATTTGTAAAATGAAATACACATACAAAAACTTTCCCGGGAAACGGTTAGGTTATGTGAACATTTTGCGATGCTAGCGACACAAATATTACGATCGTCTAAATTGTCAATTACAATTACATCTGCAGTAACATGAGAATAACAATCAATGTGTTCATTTATTACACTAATAAATAAAAAAGCATCAAATAAATCAGTCACATTTAACATCGACTACCATTTTTCTTTGTAAATATATTTATATCTAATGGCGATGAACATTTCAACATAAGAAGCATTGATCAAATCAAAATGCTCTAATTGTGCAATGATGGCAACTACATGATTGATTTCGCGAAGCAGATCGCCAAATATCCACATGACCTGTACAATTATATCTATGTACAGATTTACATTGTGAAGTGTCTGTACACATACAACATCAACATTTATTAGCTAATTGTTCCAGTACACAGATGCAGGAATCAAAGAGTACAGAGTGCGCCGACCAAACAAGTACCAAAAATAACGCAGCACTTTTGAATTTCTTAAGAAAAGGACGGAAGACTTAAGCAAACTTGGTATCGAAAAAAGTGTAATGTACTGTACACGAATCTTCACTATTGGTACCCTATAGTTACATTTGACACTGATTTTCTATTTAGTAAATATTGGCATACACATTTTCGATTATACTAAAGCGATTTTGTAAAATACCCAATCGTGAATTCAGTTCTGTGATAAGTAAAGGTCGCATCATAAGTAGGGCATCAGACTTACAAATTATTTCTCTAATATAATCAAAATACCGAGATTTCTTTAATACTGCTAATGTTCGAAAATATGTCTCTCAAAATTTTGTTACCACAACCTTAATCTCGACTATAAGCGATTTTTATAACAATCCAACAAACTCGCCTGACTACGCGGCGAAAGCTTTCGACTCCTTCTCCTAAACACCGGCTAAACATGACTACTAGAACACACCATTCAAAGGTTTCTTTCAAAAACCTTATCTCCAATTTCTACGATACCGGGGGAAGCAGGACTCTGCCAGCTCCGGATCGGACTCCGCGGATCAAAGTTCCAGATACGCCGGCGGAGTTGGCCGCTCTGGTAGTGCCACCCGCTGCAGGAGGGGATCGTCAGGCAGGAAGATGCGCTCCTCGACAGCGTGTTTATACGAGGGGTCGACATCTAAGTCTGCTAGAGCTAAGTCAGCTTCAAAAGATTCCCACCTACAGGGTGAAGCTTCTGAATAATCTTCGCCACCATCTGGCGTTAATTGGGCACTGGGAGAAGTATGAGGCTCATCGTTCTTTTCAATGCTTGACGATGAGACAAAATGGGAGGAGAACGTTTGCGATTCTGCTGGAGAGAGATTAGCAGAAGGCGTTTCAGGGGTGGGAGCGGTTCTCCATACTGTGCTAAGAGGGCCTCGCACAGGTTGAGGAGTAGGAGAGTCTGAACTCGTTCTGACGTCGAAACTGACTCTAACTTCCTTCTCTGGACGTTCTTCCACGAGCATGTTGAGGTGCGATCGGTAGGAGCTGGCCGGTAGTAGTGCCAGGCTGGAGTGGCGTTGGATGCTGGACGCGGATACCTGGCGTTGTTGCGAGTCCAGCGTGGCGAGGGAGAACGTCAGCTGAGGGTCGGGAGAGTCAAGTGGTGAGCCGAGTGGAGTGCCTGACATCGTGTGAGCGCGGTAGCTGGAAAAATTGAAGATAGCGGTTAGATACCATTCATTTTCATCAAGTATGATATATAAATTACTTTACTCAAATAATGAACTAGTTACTTACATTTGCCTCTGCAGTAAGCTTTGCCATACAGCCTTGAGGTCTATGGAAGGAGCTCGAAGCACGACGGTTCTTGTTCTAGCTGGCGTGCGTGGTGAACATGACACTAAAGGAGATTCGCCACCTGCACGACCCAATATCAGGCGGAACTCTGTCGCTGTAATACAAAGAAGTTTGTTAAAATCCTCCAAGGCGATGAAAGAATCTTACTGAAACGTTATGACTGTTACAATAAGTAAATACGAGTATTTATATCTACATACCTTTCTTCCTAACATTGAACTGTGCTTCGGAAACGGTTCCCAACGCCACTGGTTCTTCTGTGACAAACAGTACTCGGTCTCTTGACACAGTGGCAAAGAGAAGTAAATCGCTGAACAGCAACGCCCAGTACGGTCGGATGGCGCGACCTTCCACCCTTGAGAGCTCACCGCCGAAGATCCATTGACGACCTGCCGTGCTTAGCACGAATGGCTGGAAGAAGATAGTGTGATTAGAGTCTTTTATTTAAACTTAGCTCGCAGTAAACAGTCTGTAGATTGGATCAGGATATTGTATAGTAGTATTAGCGTTATTTGCTATGTGTTCTCACCTTACACCTAGTGAACACGAGACGACTCTCCAGGTCAGCAACTGATAGCAGCGGCTTGCCATCTCCAGCAAGGCCCATCAAACCTGAACCAGCTGTCACATCTTGATAACCACTCTGAAATAAGATTTAGATTTGTACATGATTTTAAAAAGAAAGACGGAGTGTAAGGGAGAATTTTATCTTTCTGAAACTTCAAAAAATATCAAACTTCATGATTACCTGTAACTGTTCTACAATGACTTGCAGCTGCTTTTTCTCGAGCTGGTCGTATGGACCTGCTCCGTTAGCAGCCGCCGCAGCCCTCATCAGTCGCAGCAGCTCTCGGAACTGCTCCAACGGTTTGTGGACTAGCGATGTGATATCAGGTCTTCTTCGTGGTATTGGTGGACTTGTACAGAATCGGGAGAAAGCCCCACTTGGGTCTTTTGATTTTTTTACCTGTTTAAAGAGTTTGGTTTTAAGACGATTCTTTAATTTTGGACTCTAAATATGTGAATCTTTGTTTTCTTTTTCAAATACGCACCAGAACACAATCAGCTCGTTTGAGGCCAAGGCAGTACTTCTTATAAAGGCTAAGGAACACAGGGGTCTTCTGAAGGTAGACGGCGACCACCGTCGACGTCTGGATCTCTCCGTCATCCTGCACCACTTGGTCAAGAATGTCTTCTGATAGTCTGAAGATCTAAAAGTAGAATTTGACCAATTTTACTTATTAATTATTTGACTTTTATATGAGAACCATACACGACTTATGGAGTTGAGGCCGTTGAACTTTCTAATTAGGAAAAGTATTGTAGCAATTTGACTCTAATATTAATATATCGATATGAATGAAAATAATAAGAGTTGTCGAAGATTCTCCATGGCCTTCGATTTTTTATAATTTTCTTTGTAATTGTGCTTACCTCTTCAATATTTTGGAATAGAAGCTGATGATCATTAGGGGCTATGAGATCTGCTCTTTCAGCCAGTGGTGACACGAATCTGACCAGACCGAATTGTAGACAGGTTCCATAATGCTGTTCTCTGGCTACCACAGCTAGGAGAGCGCGCTTTCTGCCGTCCGTTGATAACCCTGGGGTCTGGTGGTCAATGGTTTTGTCAGTTGCTAGTTTCTACTATACCTATAACTATACCTCAAATAATGCTATTGCGATTGGTGGTTACATATGGATGGTGGACTAGTTAAGAAATACCATATTTTTGCATCATTGAATGATTATGCCTTGGATTAATATTTTTTCTTTACCCAAGAAGAGACCACTTTTGAATGTGTAAAACTACACATGCTACAAAAATTTTATAACAATGATTCTATTTTCATCAGTGTCTCGTAGAGGGATAGTGAAGGAGCTAGGGCATTTTAGTTACGACGTTATTATGAGACATACGACAATGTCTATAAAGAGCCCCTCTGTGACTCGAAACTAGAGTAGAGCTTCTCTTAGCACATTTACGTGAATAACTCGTAATTTCTTAGTTAATTCGGCATATTACAATTTTATTATTCAGGCCTGCTCATATGAAGATAACAGCTGTTAAATAGATACCCTCCTTTTACCAGCTTTCGTTTAAACCTATTGTAATAGTCATATTTAACCTATTGTAAGTCATATATTTCATCACTCACTATATTTATACTTGTGTCTAATAATATCACATATTTATGTATTTCAAACACTAACACGTGGCAACACTATCTCAGTCGGTCATTCACGCGGTTTTTGTTTTTGATAGCTGACGGATATATAATTTTTGTAAAACAAGTGAAGCAATGTATTTTTGGGTATGAGTTTTAATTATGATCATGATCCTTCTAAGCTTTTTAATATTGATTCAAATTTTCTTCTATCATAGACAAAAAATTAGTAATAATTTTGACTTAACGATTTTTTTCTTTTTGATATTGCCTCAAGTTATACTATAACTTTCATGAGACATACGAAATTAATTATTATGTTATTCGACTTACTCACGTAATAATTACTTGACGAGGAACTCGACTAGTTTCAAGTTATGCTAGAGGCTCATTCATGAGCATCATTCCGCGACCCGCGATATATTATCATGGAAAAACATAATAATTAATTTATCTCAAGTTACTAGAGGTATTGTCTATTATTATGGGATCTCCTCTATCTGAAGCTATCTCTTCACACTCTCATTCATCTTTCATATCATATGACATATAGAATGGAGAATATAAATAGGAAACACAAAGATCTAGCTCATAGCTTACTATTTATTCAGAAATACTGTATGCTGAAATACCTAGAGGAATATAACTGATTGAAGCACCAAAATGTTTGTGGTCATTTATGTGTGTGTATAATGGGTTACCTCGTGACCAGACTTCAGAAAATGACAGATGTCCTTCGCGTCAATGTGTATATGTTCTGCGTGTAAGTCTATAGTAGCTAGGTGCCACAGTAGTGGTTTCAAGAGACTGTGTCCGTCTTATTTTCAAAATCCTTGTTCATGGTATAGTATGATAAATGTTGTTTTTTTTGCAATATTAATCTAGGAAACTTGATGATAATAATGGAAGGAAACGGGTTAAAGGGGTAAAAACAATAAAAAAAAAACAAAACAAAAAAGAAAATTAAAAGCAATAAATTTATTTGCACTTAAAATTATAGAACATAAATTAAAAAACGAAATAAAAAACAACAGGAACCAAAATTTTTGCATTCAATACGACGAATAAAATAAATTACTTAAAAAAGTAGATACAAATGCAATAGAAAAATATAAAGTTACAAAAAATGAAAATTGTACAACACAAAGCGATGGGTACATTATAGATACAACACGCACGAACTAAGATAAAGGAAATAAATTAGAAAAAATAAAGAAAAGTAAAAATGAAAACTTTAACAAAATAAATATTAACAAAAACAGTGAGCTTAAACGTAACGATTCCCCTTTTAATGATTTTTCACTTAAATACTAAAATACACGAAGACATACTACCTAGCTAAAAAAGTGTAAACTGCAGATTTTTAAGGAAACGATTCTTAAAATACTAATAAAAATTTCGACATAAAATATTTACGAAAGCGTTTAAAATAAATAATTTTGGTCAATCAATCTAATTTTTGATAAATATTTTCGATCAAAAATCTGCAGTACACGTAGAATATGTGATAGCTTACAAACTAAAGTAATGGAATGTATCATGAAGTATATACAGAAAGAGAACGAAGAAAAAAAATAAAATTAATAACAAAATGCGAGACACACGACTGTACATTTTAAAAGGATATTAGACTCCACGCTCCAAGAACATACTAGGTCCATACTAGCACCAAATTGGTTAAATTTTGTCACTCATATACCAAAATAATAAATTCGAATAATGTTTCTAATGGCCAGCTCAAGTCACGCAAACTTGTGGTTCAAGATATCTTTGAAGCAAGTCCTAACTTTGACATCCAATTTAGGAAAGTTGATGTTGAAAGTTGAATGGCTGATATGAATCTGTCATATTGGCATTGCTTCAACTAAACGCTAGTACTATTTAGTAGGTCTGTAGATGACCTCATTTGCTACTCTCTTGATAATATAATAAATGAAAATTTGAAATTGAAATTTGAAATTCATAATAATTTTAAAAATAGAATCCGTACCACCAACTTTACATTCAAGAACTGGCCACAAAGATGACTAGTTTCCAAAATGATTTCGATGAAGTATCAAACGATAATGCCGTTACCGACCTCTTTGGAGAATGTGACTTGGGGCAGGTGGAGCTTGCGTCGGTCCAGGGATTGGCTGGTTGATGAACAGGCAGTGGGGGGCCGGGCTGCTGTGGCTGGTGAGGCCAGGGCAGTAGCTCGAGGTGACCTTGGGGGTGGAGGGGGCGTAGACTCCGCAGTAGGAATGGTCACCTGAGTCAACCTCGGACGAACTCCCACTCCGTTTGGAGGCACCCGTCTGAACGTTTCTATGTTCAGCATTTGGCCTGCGGACCTGGAAATAGAAGGCAGACATTTCTTTAGATGGATATTTTTTTCGAATATTATATATATTTGAGATTTGAATTAGTTCCGCTTATCAAGTGTACTCCCAAAACTCCTCATTATAAATATGAATACTCACTTGACAAGGTTCCGGACCTCTTCCTCGTTGGATGTCACTACGTTTTTGTTGCCCACAAACACGAGGTAGTCTCCAGCCCTCAGACCAGCGCGTTCAGCAGAACCTCCTGCAGCCACCCTCTCGACCCTCGGTGGTCTGGTCCATACGACTGTGAAGCCAAAACCTCCAGCAGTACCGCGGATGAGTCTGGAAGTAAGAATTAATAGATTAGCTTTAAGCATTTAAGCAAAACGTATAATTAATTTATATCTACAGTTTTTAACATTAGGGATTCAGAAGGAAACTCATAATTATACATTAAAGGTCACTCAAATGGAAACACATGATACGATTAAGAATTATGATCAAAGACATTTAGAACCATTGCCTTTCCAAGGAAGAGGCCTTAATTTCATTTCTTCCACTTTTTGATTATTTGGATCTTTGCCCAAACGTCCCAGTTCATAAAGTTCGTCATTAGTAAGTTTCCTTCTAAATAATGAGCCATGCCGTTAGTTTAGTTAATGTAAATAAAAGAGACGCTGAATTAGTTTCCATTACTATTAAAGGAACTCTAATTCCCGTTGGACCCTCGTATGAATTTTTATTACTCATTTACATAGAAAATGCGTACTATTACATTGTCAAATATAATATCGATTCGGGTTATTTCAAGTAATGATGTATTGATCTTTTCTTTGTTAAATAGTGTTTTAAAAGTAAAGAAAAGTTGCTAGATCGTACTCACTTCCTTGTTGTAGTAAAAGGTGTCCTCCCGTTTCTTGGTGCTCGTCTGGGTGCGTTGGGATCTTCAGGAGGGTCCAGCTCTAAGTATCGGAGGAACAAGTGCTCGTCAGCCTCCCTCTGCAGGGCAGCGGCCACCGCCTGCGCCTGACTAGCTGTTGTTGATGCTGGACCGTTTGTCGATACACCTGGAGATGTGGATTAAGATGATTAACAATTGAAGTGGCATAAGTTTTTATTTAAACAGAAGAAAAATATTTTCTGCCTCGACT